CAGGAACAGAATGGACGTGCTTCTTATGGCACCCATCACGAATAAAAATGGGTGATGTGGCAATTTGAAGGAAACTCTGGCTGGGGATTGTTCAAACGTAAGCGCGTTTTGGTGTGTTTTGGTAGTCGTTCAAGCAAGGAGTGGCGATCTCCAGTGTTGGCACACTCTTCCAGAGCACGCCGCTGGAAAAGGGCCAACTAGGAATAGCCATGGTCAAATGAGTGAGGTAGGTAAACCTGATGCAATGAAAGAGGAGATAACTCAAAATACGGTAGGTGATGGTCGTGAGGAGTGATTGATTGATCGCTTATTTCATAGCAGGGGATTGGTTTCTGTTGATGAGGTTTGATTTTAATGATGTTGATATCGATGTCAGAGTGTTTGTCAACCAAGAAGGTAGTGACCTCCTGATTAGTACTTAAGTAAGTACCGTTGATGATCTAAGAAACAGATTTTCTCATGACCCGTGAGCTAATTTAATATCATAACAAAAGGGGAAGGTAGCAAAAGCGAGTGGGGAAGGGGGGCTAAAATGGATATTTTTTAGCTTAACTATAAGTCCCTCTTTCCTCCTAGAATTTAGATAACATGCTAACCACTCGCAAGCCGAAAGTAGATTTCAATCTCGGTTCTGCTTTTTAATCTTCTTCCATTTATTTATCCGTTGCATCCAAACACTTATTCATCATCGTCACTTGTCTTCATTTCTTCCTGTCAAAAACTTTTATTACTCCTTCATGAATTATCACATCGAGTTTGGATGAATATATCAAATATCCTGCACAAACATTGTTTCATATGGCCATAGCTTCCTTCCCAAGAGCTTATGGATACAACTGAAGTCCTAGTCCAAGCACCACATTCAACTCCTTTATGAATATATGGACCCTCACGAGGTCATTTGCGAATGGCGATGGCGAAAGAACGCATTTCATTCGACACTTTCTTCAACAATTTCTCAAGTCCCAGTACGATTTCCGTCAGCTTTTCGATTCGCCCAAACCCCATTATGATCGCGGATGATGAGGGATAGCTAAATGGCATCCTATCAGCCAGACATTCGGTTGGCAGATGGAAAAAGAAGAAAATGTTCACTAGCCTATACCATTGGTGTCAATGGAATAATCAATACCATAGACCACCGATCGGGTTACTGTTTCTTGCTATTTGCACCGGTGGTATCAGAAACTTTTTTTTTTATGAGAAGAGTCCATCATATTGCTGTCTGCGCTGTTGTTTGACGTTGTTATTACCTTCTGCCCTCCATTTTCCGGCCCACCACAAAAAACACATGTTGCTTTTAGTGGAGCATTCTTTGGCCATCCTCGCGAAGTCGCAATTTCCCGCTGAAGTTTCTATCATAGGGATCAACATCAATTGTACCATGTCCAGATCATAATGTTTTCTCTCACGGACTCTTATGTGACCTAGCTGGAATCCAAGTACTTGCCTGACGTCATTAGTGTCTCTCATACCTCATCTCCTCTATCCAAACTGCTCACATGTCTTTCTCAGTAATATCCTTCACCACACCCTAATTATCAAATCCAGCATTCATGAAGCGATGAAAATAGCATTGCATCCCAAGTCTGCTGAGCACCGATTCGAGATCAATGCTTGGAGTGCCTATGATATTGATATCTATGTCTGGTGTATGTGTCTTTGGATGATACTTGCTTGGAAGATCCATGTTTGAGAGACATTTGTCGCAAAGTTCTCGACAATCACTTGAAGAGTAGAAGGAAGATCTGAAAGCACGCCAGCATCGAGCTACGGTGCAGTTTATTTTCAAATACTTGCGCAGGGTAATGCTGACTTTAGGTGGGTGCGGGGAATTGCAAACTTTCCAGTAGACCAATCCCATTTTTGTACAATGTGGTCGCTCTTGTTCTGGGACTCAATACCGGTCCTGCATCGCGGCTTCTCTCCCCATTTGTTTTGCGCTCGCCCAATGCACGAATCCTTCTGATATCCAGCCCTTCTACATTACATACGGACATGGTAGCCCTTAAATGCACTCTAATATATCAATAGTGGTAATTGTTCTCCATGGCGCTCGAGCAATTTTCTCCAATGTATAGAATGTGACATCCAGGGACATTTCATCAACCCACGACATGCACCTTCGCCAGCCATCTGTTACACAACCTCCGTCCTCGCCGCAACGCTTTCAAAGCAATGACGACCACCGTATAGACCACCAGTACGAAGCGGACCAAGCTTCACTTTGAGTATTTTGGTGCAATATCCGCCTCGGCGGGTCAAGAGTCACGAGCCACGTAGTGAAAAGTGGCGTGATCATGGTGGAACGATGACCTGCACACCCTTTTTCTATGAGATCTCACTGGATCGCTGGTCGCAGTTCCAAGATGCGTCTGAAAATATCTTATTGAGTATTTTCGGATCAATTTCAGGGTCTCCACGGATTCGGGAAGAGCCACTTCCGAGACGGTTGTCCAACACGGTTAGCATAATGGTACCTATATTTGACAAGCCGAAGGACATCGAGATTGCTAGAGTAGGTTACACAATTATTTTTCTAGGATGGGATACACCATCCGTTTTTTTCCGTTGAATCCTTTTCTAATTCTGGGAAAGCTGCTGGTTTGATATCTTTTGATTACTTATTTCCTATTCTTAGCATTATGTTGTGATGATTTAATTGGACTTCTTTTCTATACTTACAGATCTATTTGTTTTGGTAATTATGTGGAGAATTGTGAATCTTCTGGATGAATTGTTGATACTCAAGAATTAAGTTAGAATTGATCTTTCAAATGATTTGGACCTCTCGGGTCTACTGGCTCCCTGAGATGATTTTAGTCTGCGAAATGTGTTGAACACATCGAACCTTCAACTCAAACACATTGCTAGACTACCACACAGATCTACAGATCAATGAACCAGAAATCTAAAGAAAGACTTTCTTCATCTTGAGAAAACTCGAATACTTTTATATACTAGTATCTAGATGCCCTAATAACTCATGATCTATGATCTAGACAAGGCAGGATTGGAAACTTCGATCTATAAATATATATATACGGAGTACATGGCCCGTGAGAAACAAAACAATCCAATCCACACAGTATCACAAAAAAACACGTACATGTAATGTAGTAATCTTATGGAAATCATCTTTCTTTCTGATTTATTCTTGATGTCTCTACTTCACTTCACTTCACTTCTCATTTGCATCTCCTCTACCTCTACCTCTACCTCTACTCTAGCACCATCTAATCAATCGAGTTTAGTTAAGTTTAGTTAAGTTTAGTTTTCTTCCTTTCTGCTATTGTTATTTTTTTCTTCTTACCATAGTAAGATCTTACCTCAGTAAGATCTTACCTCAAATCCAACAAGGTCACCTTCATCCACCGCTCTTGCGTATACATACAAATCAGATCAGATCAGATTGAAAAAATTTCATTTCATCTGGTCTATGTCTTTATATCTTTTGTCTTTTGTCTTTATCTTTATCATTATCCTCCACCTATGTCTAGTAGATACGCTCGAAATTTCCATCTGCTGTCTTCCGCCTCCCTTTCTCAACTGCCAGGCTAGTCAGTGTGTATCTTTCTCCAACCCTCCTCAAAAAAAAATCCCATCAAAAAAGCACCATCCATCAGCCACCCCCAAGTTCTAACATATCACATGAAGAATAAAGACTAAGTATCTCTGTATGAGGATAATAGTAAAAGAAAGATATTTCTCCCCAATTCGAAAAAGAAGATTCAAAAGTAGGAACGGAAAGATCATCCGCTATTCTGGCAAAGAAGCAAAGCAAAGAAAGGTACACATCATGACCGTTAATAGTCATTTTCGTTTCGCGCCCTTGAACACCTTCGCCAAATTCAAAATGTCAAAAAGTAAATGTAAATAAGTTGGAAAAATTTGTGGTATCTCGTAAAATCGCGGGACGTTAAAGTACAAGAAAAGATTAAAATAGAAAACGTTCTGAAGTAAAAACTTCGATTCTTGACGTCAGATTTGTGTCATAGTCGCAATATGTGAAAATACTGCTTCTGCAGAATGCTCGCCATGCTGGGATATTGTGGCACGTGAATTCGTCGGGGGAAAAAAATACAGTGTCGTGAAATAGAGTATGTGAGGTAAATGTGAAATAAATCGTAGTAAAGCCCAAGCCAGAAAAATCGTCGCAAGACACGCAACTTGACAATCCTGGAGCAGGACTTTCAATTTCTCTTTAGAAACAATTCAAACTGCCCTTCTTCTTTTTCTTGCTACTCAGAGCATTCATACGTTCTTCAAGATGAGCTCTAGCGAGTTCTGCCTCTTTTCTCTTGCGTTTCTCTTCTTCAACTTGCATCAAGCTCCAACGATTCTCCTTCTCCGCATCACCATTCTTGGCTTTTTCTTCAGCCGCTTTCAGTTCCGATTCCAGTTCGTTGGCACGTTTTCGCCATGCATCACAATCGGCTTTGACCTTGTTGCTTTGTCTCTCGAGATCTGTGAGAGCCTCTTCGAGCGTGGATGTGAGTTGCTTCTCAGCGAATAAGTGCTTTTCAATAGTGCGGATACGAGCTTCTTGATCCTCTTGGATTTGAGTTGCAGCTATGTCTTTGCTATTGCGGCTATTGAAGCTACCTTGAGTGGGTGTTGGTGGGACTGGTGATGTTGAAGGAGCTGGGCCAATCTGTGCTGTTCCTGCAATGCCGGGTAGTGGCGGTAAGGGGATTGCGGGGGGTGGTGATGGAAGTGATGTCACGGATGCGGACTTGTGGAGCCGCGAAGTCATCGAGTTGGAACGCTGTTTATTCAGGTCAGACTGCATAACCTCGTCATATTTAGCCTATTTATTTAGTTAGATATATCATAAAAGATTTCACGGTTTGTGGCTCACTTGAAGAGTGGCGAATTCCTCCTTGATGGCGTCCAACTCGGTCTGGGCACGGAGAGCATTCGCATTGGCTTCGTCCAATTGAGCGTTGCGCTCTGTTTGGAGCGTAGAGAGGCGATTGTTAGCAGCTTGGTGCTCATCAAAGTTTGAAGCCAATTGGTCCTCAAGCTCCTCTACCAGTCTTGAGTTCTTCTTGTTCTTGGTCTCGAGGTCGTGAAGCTCCTTCCTCAAAGCGGCCAATTGATCTGCGACTGTAGCATTTTCATCCTTCAGTCTAGAACCGTCGGCGGTTTCGGCTAGAAGACTAGCCAGTTCGGCTTTGGTAGTTTCGAGCTCCTTCATAACGCTTTGATTAATCGTCGAGAGCTCTTCGGTGTACTTCTCAAGTTCGCCCGCTCTACTTTCTTCATCGGAAAGAGCTTTCTGGTTGGCAATAAGATCTGTGATTCTATCTTGAAGCTTCTCTGTGCTCACGTCAACTCCAAGTGCAAAAGCAACTTGCGTGGCGATCTTTGTCAGATCATCACGGGCATCAGAGAGCTCTCTTGACAGTGCATCAATGTTTTCCTGATGTTTAGCCTTCAACTCGCCTATTTGAGCATCATGGTCAGCCTTGCTTCTTGAGCGGATTTCTTCAATCTCCTTAGCATGGTTCGCATGCAAGAGACTTAGTCCTTCGTGGTGAGCCTTGACAATGTTTTCATGCTCGACAATCTGCTCTTCAAGCCGAGCAACAAGCATCTTGTGTCCCTCCATCTCTGCAGATGTGATGTTTCTTGATTGAATGGCTTCATCAAGTTGTTCACGTGTTGATGCATGAGCTTGCTGGAGTTCGGCAATTTGCGCGATATTCGCGGCAACGGCTGCTTTGTGTTCGTCAACCTCTCTTTGCAAGTTTGCAGCATGAGTCTGGCGATCTTCAATTTCGCGGGTCCTCTTATCTCCACTAGTAGTCAGACTTGACAATTGTCGTTCCAACTCAGATATCGTAGTCTCGAGTGCATCTTGAGAACTTTGCATGGAAGTTAAGGCCGTCTGATGCCTTCTCTCCCAGTTGGCAACTTCTGCTTTCAGTTCTGCAACTTTACCTTCATGATCACCATCCGTTCCACTGGCTTCTTTGTTGACAGAGTCGCCATCCACTATAGGGCGTGCGTTGGCAGAATTCCTGAGAGATTCTATTTGTTGCAGTAGCTCCTTTTCACGAGCACTGTGAGTTTCCTGGAGCATCCTTACTTGATTCTCAGAATTGATTATTTGGTCCTGCATAGTCGAGACTACCGACATATCCATTGGCGATGCCTTCATGCTCGATCTCTCTCTGGCAAGCCCACTAATTATAGTTGTCTTGGTATCTAACTCCTTCTTGACCGTAGTAATGTCCGCTTCAAGTTCCTGAATTCGCTCCGAACGAGTATGCAATTCGTGCATTGCAGTGTTCAAATTCAATTCGAAGTTGGCCATAATGTCGGGGTTATCCTCAAAATTGTCGGCTGCAATATTTCTTAAAGAGGCGAATGATCTGTGAGCTCGATCGATAATCATAACGTTTTGACTCGATTTGCGACGTATAACAGGCGTGACTGAGCGTGGTGACGAAGCTTCGGCATTCATTCTCGCCTTTGATACTTCCGCCTTTAGCTCCTCCATACGATCGAGAGCTGCTATGTGTTCTTCCTCTAATTGGGCGTATTTCTCGGCAAGCACCATTTGTGCCTCTTCTTGCTCGGCGCCTAACTTTCTCAAACTTTCAACATCCGCTGTACTTGTCGTGTCACTGGCCTGCTCCGAGGTCGCCACTGACTCCGAATTTTTTATCACGGCTTCGGCATCAGATTGTTCTGTGGTAGTGCGTAATCCCCCAGCTGAGGACAATTCCGATGAGAGCGATCGCGAGGATGAGTATTGTCCTCCACCCCTTAGCTCGTTCACCCTCGCGTCTGCTAAAAAAGAAGCTGATGTCGGTGTCGGAGCCAACGACAAAGGATCACGTGCAACAGGATGGCGGGCTTCGTCAACGGCGTCTTGAAGTTCGGCCAATGTACGAAGAGCCTCCTCATATTTAGCTGAAAGAAGATCATACTCGCCAACGGTAGCTTCATGTTCAACTTTTAGGTCAACTAGTTCTTGAGTAACGCTTTCGAGCTTATCCTCAACAAACTTTGATTGGGCTGGGCTTTGAGGTGAATATTGACTACCAATCTCCTCACTCAGCGATTGCAGGGGAGTTCCGAGCTCAATAGATTCTCCATGGTCGGCGGGGCCATCAGTTTCAGGTCTTTTGCCACTTGCGGGGCTCACCGAAAAATCCTCGTCACTCTCATTGTCGGTCTCTAGAATGACATTATTTTGGTTTCTCCTACTTGCAAGGCTTTGTCGGCGGCTGTTCATGTCAATAGACGAGGATCGTTTACTGCTCATGGCTCTTTTCTCGTCTCCATTTTTTCCGTCATGCTGAATCTGATCTAAATCATAGAGCAGGCTGTCCAATTTTCCGAGACTCCGTTGGCGTTCAATAACGTGCTCCAATCGCTCAATTTCACGTTGCATCATCTCCGAATCTTGATCGGCCTCCGCTAAACGTTCCTCGAGGGTTGAAATGTAATCTTCAGATGTAGCCTCATTTTCGCGAACGCGAGCAATCTCTTTGCGGAGCTCCATTACGATTGCCGAATTTTTGTCTTCGCCCGAAGTATGGCCTTCAAGCCTCGTTTCTAGGTCATGTAGATAACTTTCGGTATTAGCCTCTCGATCGGCCAATTTCTGTAAGCGTGCTTGAAGTTGTTGATTGACCGTCTCAGCATAAGCACACTTGGTCTCCTTTTCCAGAAGTTGAGTTTCGGTATTCGCTAAAGATGATCGAGTGCTGGAGAGGGAATGCTCAAGACTTTGAATTGTCTTTTCGTATTCGAGGACCACTTGTTCAACCGCTTCGGCGAATGAGTTCGAGCGTTTTAGTCTCTCTGTGGCACTGTCACCCAACGTATTTTCATGAGCCTGGTTATCAGCAACTTCCTCATCCCGAGCTCTAGCCAACTCCGATATAAGCTTAGCATGTCGTTTGCTAAGAGCCGTGTAATTTTCCTGCGTGTCTAGTAGCTGATTATGCAGTTCCACTTCTCGTTCGTTTTGTCGCTCGGGCCTCTCACTCGTGGGCTTGCTACGACGATCACCCCCGCTTTCACTGTTGCTAATCTGATCCCGAAGAAAAGCGACCTCGGCTTTCAAGCGATCGATGACAGCCTGTTTATCGCTTTCATCTGAAACTTGTTGAATTCGAGGCTTACTTTGAATGGCACGGGCGCGTTGAGCATATTGAACTGTGTTCAGAGTCTCACTGAGGTGAAATTCTGCCGGCGTAACACATGCAATCATGTAAGTGATCGCGTTACCTCCAAGTGAGTCCTGGAGGAATCTGGTGAGCTTTGAGTCTCGGTACGACACGTGGGATCCGGATTGTCGGGATGACAATTGCGATATAACCTTGCCCAAACTAGCCAAACCAGCGTTGATGGAAATACCTTCCTTGGCTCTTTCTCCTTGTGCGCCGGTATTTTTTAATCTCTCACTGCCAGCTAAATCGACAAAATGGAATTTGCTGTCAATTGTGACCACGTCTGCGCCAGTCATGGCTTCTAGTGGAACGGAAAATCTCTTTTCGGCGCCTTGTGTCCCTTTGGTTTTGCGCTGGACCAGATTTAAACTGAACACAGCATGAGATCGTGAAGATTTGGCGTTGACCGCGGTTGCATCAGTCTGGCGAATCATAGATCCGAAATTGAGTGCGGCCATGAGATCTTCCACCGTATTGACCTCTACCTGGTGTAATCCTGTAAGAAGAATATGACCTTTGGTGTTCTCTCGAATATTGACCACCTCTCGTTCATGAGGAGGTGTATGTTCGGGAACTAACAAATCTCGCAGCTGCTCATTGTAAATTTCGACATACGTTGCCTTGAGAGTCCAAGTTTTGTCCTCCGCAGACACAGCAGCAGGAATCGTGGAATACCTCTTGGGTGCTCGTAGACCAGTCATGGAGCTTCGATTGGAGTGCTGCGGTTTCCCGACGCCGAGTTTCTCAAATATTGCCATGGCCGCACGTGGAATCACACCTAGACACTCGCACGTACATTAGCATCTTTCCCATTTGAGCAATTACAACACGTTGCGCAGCAGTTCAATATGGGATTGAGTGCGACGGTGTCTAACTTACCCATAACCTCGGATTTTCCTTGCTCGCCTGGACCGGATGTACCCATTGTAAAGGACTTCCCAGCGCCGGATTGTCCATATGCCAGCATAGAGACATTATATCCTTGAATGAAGGCATTTGTGCTTTCTACCAAGTATTCCCAAACTCCTTCCTGGTCCACATCTTCACTGAATACTCTGTCAAACACAAATATCTTCTTTCCCTGTGGAGAATCAATCGCTAGGGTCGTGGGTGAATTAACCTGTACCATAGGTCGTTGAAATCTTTGTGGAATGAGATCGTAGCCAGGATCGTTTGGTCGGAGGGGTGGTCGAACTCGCACAGCTGCAAAAGTAACTCAGATTAGCCTTTGTGGACGACACATGCAAAAACAGATCAAGATCTCCATACCGACTTTGACAGCAGTTTTACCATCTTCGTCCGAAGCTCGACTTCCTCCAGTCTTGCTGCTCATGCTCATCCGACTACTCGATCTTGGTACTCCTCTCATCATTACACTCGCGGGCCTAGGCAGACTCGCATGGTGCGATTCTGGAGAGCTGGCCATGGCTCTTTTGTAACCTTCGTTGCGACAAAATGCGTGAAAGACCGAGGTGCAATAGTATGTTGTTTTGATTGTAGATTAATGTGATTGTGTGTCGATAAGTAATCAAAAGGCGTTGGAAATCGTTACCCTCCAGGTCCGACTCATTGGTTGAGAATTGTTAGAACGAGAGTGAATAAATAATATTATACTTATAAATTTCCTCTTCCTCTCCTGTTATTTTCCAGGATGTATAATTGCTTCTTTTTTTCGTCTGACCAACAGGACCAACCCAAGAAAGAGAGGTAAGCGAACGTTGGAGATAGACACGCGTTGTGGTTGTCGAGCAACAGGGACAAGAGTGTTAAATATAAAGATCTCTTTCACGCGTCCTGAAGTACTTTTAGGACATGGAATATTAGTTCAAGTTCAGAAATATAGACAATAATGTGTGTTACAGAGGGCTGATTAGGTATACAAAACGATTGGAGGTGGATGATGTTGGTTCGGAGAGAAAGGAAGAGAGAGACAGTGGTAGCTGGAGAGCAGAGTTACTAAAAAAAAAGTGTAGTTTGCGCTGGTGGTTTAAAAAGGTTGGTTCCCGATGCGTGCACTGTGCAGGAAGGATGGGTGAAGGACGAAGATTCAGATTCCCACAAGCCAATCCTAAAGCTTCAACTCGGCGGAGACTCCAAAGTATGGTAACTGGTAAGTAGGTATGGTACGTATACTAGATAGTGCTTAAATGGGGAATTTGTGATTTGCGGTTCGTGGGTCTGCGGAAGGTGGACACTGGACATGGCTAAAAATTGTGCAGTAAGGTGTATGTAGGTAGGTGCTAGGTACAAGATACCAGATCCTAGGTGCTAGGTGCTAGGTGCTAGGTACGTACTCTGTAGATAATAACCCGTAGATATTATTGTTTATTTACATGGTATTTCTCATCTCCCGACTCTCCGTACAGTTACTCTCCCTCGCCTGCTTGCTACTATGCTGTTCAATGTTCGCTGCTCCCTCGTTCTTTTTAGTTTAGGTTCAGGGGTATTTAACTCTAAATGCCCTAAAATAATTACAACTTTCACACCTCTAGAACCCACTACTATCCGATTCCATCGTATCCTCCGTAACAACCCACTGTGACTTTCTTAGTAAACATGCTAGCCCCAGAACCTTTCCCTCTGTCTTTTTGCCTTTGAGCGCTCAATCCGAAAAGTTGACAGGGGATAAAATAGTTGACCTTCTCTGATTGGCTCCTTTTTATTCAGATTCAGGTACAGAGAGTGGTGTTGCCGAATCTAAAGTAGTTGATCGATCGTCAAGTCCTTCCCCCCTGGTCATATATATTGTTGTGCCTATTTAATCATTAATTCAGGAGTGAGTGTTAGGCTGTCGTCCATTTGATGGCAATGTTTAATGCCTAGGGAGGTCTTCACTGCAGCGCAGCCAATAATCATAGAACATCGAGGGTTCCTGACAAACCCCTCTCTTCCCTCACCTCCTTTTCCCTATGCACAGCACGCATTAGTACCGATCACATCTGCATCTGCAAAGTAGTCCCATCGCATGATACATGATACATGGCCATTTGCATTCTGATGATCCCAAAAAGAGATCAAGCCAGCACAAAAAGTACCGGGTGTTCGGCGATTGAATTGATAATCAAGTCCTCAAATGGCCCCGCCAGATTCCAGAGAGCTCACGCGGTAGCCAGGGATAGATAGGGTGTACTCCGTAGGTAGTATGGACTCTGTAGGGTACCAGTTTTCAAAAGGAGGTTTTGCATTAGGACTTGGACTCCCTTCTGATCTGGGGGTTTTACTTTTCCAATCACGTAAACGAGATATACCCATATGAGGGTTAACCTTGTTGAGATCCGTTCACTAGTAATTAGATCAGCCCTTCCTCCATTTTCAGAGCGGGAATTTTTACTTTTCTGACAGGTTGGCGGGACTGAAAGTTCAGACGATCTCGAAACGCCAATTGATAACACTGTGTATAATTAGTACCTACCGAGTATATATGTCAGTATACATGTAAAGGAGTGAAGGATGAAGGGGTAGCGACACCGCTCTGAAGGAATATGGAAGGAAGCGGCACGCTGTTTGATGTGACTTGTTAATGGGCAGTGGAAATATGCAGATTACATATTACGACGTTTTTACTTCCTTATCAAATTAATATCAATCAATGAATGGGATGATGAAAGCGCGAGAGAGGAAAAAAGACGTGCCCCAGCTCCCCAGACGGAATCAAGATGAACCAAGTGTTGGCAAGGTAAGATCTGCCGCGGTTCAAGAAAAGATAACGGCTATAATAGGAAATGAGGTCTTGTCGTCTCGGTCGCTCGGATAAATGTAGATTGCACCTTTTAGAGGAACAACTTGAAACTTAAAGCCAAAATGCTTTGGTCCACTCCTATTCTAACGAAGACATTACCGTACTCTGTTCTGTAGACATTTTTAACGCCTGCCGGAGATTGCATTGTCTCTACCGGCTTGGAACATTGAAACATTGAAACATTCAAAACGATTCTCCAAGAGGTGCCGTCGATGATACACACGCACGTGCTGTCGAGTGCCAAGGACAAAGCCTCATAAATAGATCGGAATATACATTGAGTTGGGAGATACAATTCCTCCTCTGATCATGGAGATTTTCATCATTCGCATCTTCCACGTCTCGTTCTTATTCGCTAAACCGCGACCGCATGCATGAACCTTCGATACATATTAGATGTATGCACGCTTTGATCTAGTCATAGGGAGGAGTAGATTTCTCCAACTCCCCTTAGACCCTGTCGATGTTGAGTCTGGAAGAGAACAGGTTTTTATGGTTGACATGGTGATGTTATCATACTGGGAACACTCTTAATAGATGTATTATGAGTGCTAATGCCAATCTACAAAATTACCATTCGTATTAATCTCAAGGTTATGTGTAATGAGAAGACTTCATTACCACGAATCTGACGGCACGAAAGTCGAGAATCTCTCCTGCTCCAACCAGAGAATAATCTCAAGCTCAATATGAGTGGAATCATTCCAATGTGGCAACAACTCATTCTCAAGCCTCAAATACCCACGTCTAACCTACACAGTGGCACAATTGCAGAGAGAGAAAACCAAACGAGAGAGAGATTCACGGCATTCTCTTCGTACAGTATGACTTTTCTACTCGCTTGACAACTTGATGCCACTCTCCTCTGCACACTCTACCATCCATTTTCACTGCATGCTCCAATCCACCTGCATGGCTTGTGCAGAGTCAACAGCACGGACTCGAACTTGTCCAAGCGTACAGGAAATGAGCATCGGATATATTATCCGATGCGAGGCTGAGCTGCGCCCAGCTGTACAGTTACGCCTTTGTCTTGGGTTGACTCTTGAGACAATGATCTACTTGCGGATACCTTACCATCAATTCTATTCAGAATTACGATAGCCTTAAGCTTGGCCTTAAGTCCGCAAGAGACACTCAGCCTCATTCGTCTTTTCACTGAAGTATGTTGGTGGATCTAGACTCTATCAGACAGACGGCTTTTAAAAACGTTTCCTTGCACATCACACCGCTGCTCTGAATTCTCCGCGCATACAGTCCGGCGAACAGATGAGATCATCGCATTGTCAGGTCGTTCTTTACCTGCATAAATTTCGCATGACCTCCCCATTTTGTGCATCGCACTCCTGCCGATGATACCCAACGTTCTGGGTAGTATTACGCTTTGGCCAACACATTATGGAATGTACGCCGCATGCCGTCTTGAGGACTGGAAGGTTCACGGCAATGCAAGGTGGATTCCGCGAAAGCTACCATGGCCGGGAAGACCTTATGCCTGACGTCAATGTACATCATCTTCCGATCCCTAGGCATATACGGTTCTGGATTAGTAATACCAGCAAAGTATCTAAATAAAGTAGCTCCTCGCGTCCCCAGAGACGACCTGCTGCAACCAAAGTTACCTTGTCTAGCTGATCTCTATTTTTGGGATACTCTGTCGGATGAGTGCCGTCTTGAACTAAGATACGGAGTGGATGACGATCCACTGCTAGGTGCACGTTTGAAATGTCCCTAGCCAAAGTATATTTGACTACATAGCTTTTTCGAGCCGAAAGTAGGAGTGCACAGGCATGCTACGAAGTCAGATTGAACTTCACAATCGTTGGATTAAGAGCTTTCGTTGGGGGAGGCATTAAAATGTGACAGCAAAGCCATGTCCTCTGCCACACGATCTTTTGCCATGACCACAAGGATTTCTTTCCAATACAGGGCGAAGAAGTCAGCGAAGAGCTGCTCTCCCATAAACAAAATCTTCAAATTCTTTGTTTTCCATTCGCCTATCTAGTACTTCTGTAATGGATCTATCTCTCAGCTATTGAGAAGCGGAGCAGCTTTTTTCCTGGGCTAACAAAACCCAGTCATATGACATGCTAATCCTCAGCAAGCTCTTTAAATCTATGACTATATATCCAAATAACAAGTTCATAAGAGGAAATGAATAACTTTGGGATATCAGATCCATGGACTAGTTGCCACATGAGTCCAAACAGTGTTCCCGCCAGTCTCTTTTATTCTCTTTCTGCGCATCTTCATCACTTGGTGATTCGATACACAGTATGCAGCAAAGCTTTGTTTCATAAGTATGATATAATCTTTTTAGTAATTACTACATAATTGAAGGGGTCTAAGAAGTAAAGCCATATCTCGGACCCATCTCTTTACTTTTATATTTCCCAAGAGGACTTATGTCAAATATCTGTGTAAAAGCTACATACTCCCTTCTCCCATACTCTTTTTAGCAGCAAGCTTCCTCTCTGAATGAAGCCAATACAGAATAATATTATTAGCCTCTACACATTTATAAACTAGCTATGTTGTAGATGAAAAAGTTGGATGTTATCGAAATAGTCATAGACGAGGTGTTTAGAGGGGGATTGATATATTTTACACACTTACAAGGACAACGCGTTGCTTATTAGGATAGCAAGATAGTAATCTACATCATGATCCATCAATTATAAAAGTCACCACAACTCACCATTAAGAATATCATACATATTTCTATCTTCCATTCTTCATCATTCCAGCCTTTTCTCTCTCACCTCTCTAATATCTATCAACCATCAACCAGCCACCTCTATCTCATCTCATCATAGAAATAACCTACCCACCCCTCCTTCACTCGAGCCACCTCTTCATCCACCCACTCTAAGAACTGCACCAATATCCACTTCAATCTGAGCTCTTCAAAACTCATTTCCTCATAATAGCAACACAAAAACCTTGAACAACTTTAAAACATAATATATTAAATCTTACACCACCTATCTCCGCTTGTTGGGTTTCTTGAGACTAGAAAGAGTATCAGATTGAATTGATTTCTTCTCTAGCTAAGCAGTTAAGCTGCGAGTATATATTCAAAAAATGAAGGAATAAGGTTAGGTATTCAGCCTTCGGAATTAAAGTGCTTTGAAATCAAAATATTGAAAGCAAACAAACAGTATACCAAAAAGGAAAGAATGAATTAAAAGTTGAGTTTTGTTTGCTCCTTATATGCATCATGCAATATATATGCATATGCTGCCAAGATCCCAGGAGGTCAACACCGCTCAAAACCTCAATTGGAGAGATATCTCACCATCTATAATCCCTAGAAAAATACCTAAAAATACACAATAAAACATTGGATTTATCTGGTAGGTTATGGGTTATTAGCTACCTAGGTAGATATTGGTATTGATTTATCTTAATTCCATTGTGAATTAAATGCACACATAATTACGTACAGGAAGGACATAAAGTATAAACATGTGAAGAATAAAATATATACACTCTCTAAAATCCGCGAAACAAAAACGACAAGGACGACAATAATATTATCGATATATCCCATAAACTCGAACTCAATCTCTATACCTATATATCTAACACTATTTACAAACCCCTATAAAAGAGGAATGGGAAAGGGGAGGGGGCACTAGCGACTTAGGTAGGTAGGTATCTATGATGTTTTATTGGATGAAAGGGGAAGGGAGGAGAGGATGGAGTGAATGGATGGATGAGTGGCCATGAATGGGGATCAGGATTGGAATGAGAGTGAGAGTGAAGAGCGAGGTAGGTGAAGTTGGATCAAGCGTGCATGTGATGGGTTATATGAAGCTGTTTTGTTGCTATATTGAGCTCTTGTGAAATTGATTCTCTGTTATCATGATGAGATAAAAACTCAAGAGAATTATGAATTTGAAGACTCGAAGAATACAAGTATAGGTATCAATACCAATAAAACAACACTTTCGCTATACATTCATATCGATCACAACTCTGTTCTTCCCCTCTTTCTGTAGCCTCGCAATCTTAGCCAATATATTCTTTTTCCACACTTTGTACTCGGCTCTCCTCTGCTCTGTCAGATAATCCACTTTCTTTTGTCGCATTGTACCAAGTCCATATCTCATTTCGTCTTCTCGTACCAGTGCTCTTTCAATTCCATCTAGAGCATCCTCTCTTTCTTGATCTTCGCCTGTATCGTCTTGAGCATCTGCCTTGACTAAATTTTGATACCAGTCCATTTCTAAACACCCTTTATTGGCAATCTCGGCAATCCAAATATTGACTTCTTTCTCATTGCTCCTCCCCACCTCCACCTCATCTTCCTCTCCCTCCTCCGGTACATCCCACCCCCCCCATCCTCCCATCCCAACCTTCCTCTCCACCTCTGTGTCCTTCCTCGCCGACCTTAACACCTCCAACGCCTTGAGCCTATTTTCTTTAAAATCCTCATCATTCAACAATTCCCCGCCAGCGGTCAATTTCCCCCAAACAATACCCCAAACCGCCATCATCAACGCCGGCCACTTTCCAATAGTCTCTTCCTTTCTCCTCTCCTTCTCTTCCTCCCAAAAAATTAAACTTTCCACTCCAGCCAATACATGAGGTGTTGCCTCTTCCATCCCCAATTTCCGGCACAGTTCTCTACCTACTGTACCAACCCATCGTGGTATCTTCGTCTCATCTCTTTTCTCATGCCGTAATCCCTTTTTCGGAGTGCGGAAACTTGCCAGACTTTTGGATTTAGAGGGTGTACTACGTTGGGGAAGGAGAAGAATAGTTTTTATTGGGGTATCATTTCGACCTGGTGTACGTTTATTCGGGGATTGTGCTAATGATGATTTCCTGCTTGGAGTCGCATTTCCATTCCCGTTTCCAAACTCACTTCCTTCAACTCTCGGTCGTTTTCTCGGCGTCGCATTACCTAGCGTATCTTCAATATATGCATATAATTTCTTATAAACTTTCGGGGGAACCGGGGGTCGGGGTTCGATTTTGGGAAGATTCAATGATATTTTAAGCCTGGCTTAAAATTTAGTAAACGACCAATGGTAAGTGGGTACAAGTAAGAGAACAAACCGTTCACAAGCAAGATTGGCACAAGCATATATTCTCCCGATTTCTTGCTCCTGACTTAATGAACATTTCAGGCGCGATTGTTGAATGAGAGCACTGGTTAAATTGAGGAGCTCCGGGGGAAGAGTGCCAGAATGTCGGGGGATGAGATTGGAGAGAACGAGCGAGGTGGCTTGGTTCATTTTGTAAAAGGTATAGCTATTGCGATTCTTTCAGCTCAGCTATGTTTAGGTGAAGAAAATATGGGTATCGCAAAGCAAAAATTGTGAAATCGCTATATACAAAATGCCCATATGCCATGTGTAAGGTTAACCTTAATCGGTCTGTACCACAACTCAAAAAAACAAAAGTTCCAGCCTCGAGTCCACCATGTCTAATCCCTGCAGTGACGTCGGGACCCGGAGCTTACCCCTGAATTTAATGTCAAAGCGTCTCGTCTCGCCTTAAGGATGCGATTCATATTCAATTGCGATACCGACTTTGTACTTTTGCGACGAAAGACACCTTTCACCACAACACATTTAACGATCTACGATAATGACTATGGGACTGGGAAGGATAGGCGGACTTTTGGCTTGTGTAGGATTGGTTATTGCACATGGAGGTGTAGCACATCAGAAACCTTTAACCGTGGATCCTAACGCGGATTGGGGAACTAGACATATGGCCGGTGAGAGAGATTCCTTCCAATTCTTCTACTTTTGACTTTAACGGCAATGCTGTGTATCAATTGACTAACGCACAATTAGAGGAACATCACATAGACAACTTCGATCCGGGTGCCTTCTTTACGCTCCACGATTTCGACAACAACGGCGTTTGGGACCAATCGGAAATCCTAAAATTCTATGGCATGGAAGATGAGACTGCAAAAGATGTGCCGCATGAAAAGAAAGTTGATTTGCTGAAGGAGATATTACGATTGATGGATAGTAATAATGATGGAGTAGTGGAAAAGGAAGAATGGGACAGGTATTCAGGGACTGGAGGTCTGTTGCCAGATTTTGGGCTCGGGCCAGGACATCATTGGGATATTGAGATGGAGTATGAGATTCATCATTGGCAGAAGTAGGTTTTGTTTCCTTTTGGAGCGAAGGGTGGAAAGGGTGTGATAAAGTGAGAATATTGGGCTAATATGTGGCAGATACCATGATGAGAATACGAAGGAAGAGGATTTGATACATCCGGAGGACATTGCACATTTCAAGAAGCATGATGAATTGGAGGATGAAGCTGATAGAGTTGCGGCTTTGGATAAGATGCCCGTTGTTGAACAAAATATTCCTGATAAGTTTAGAAAGGATAAACAATGATTGATTGTGTTTAAAGTATAGACATGATGATAATTAGATTTGATACCGAATATATATGTATCATTATAGAGGCATTTCATTCCCCAAACTTCCTTGGGTTTACTCCCGCGTTTTCTTTTACCAAATCATCTCATCGATCAAAAATACTATACCTTTCCCGCATTTAAAAGTCGTTCCCTTGTTGCTGGCGCTTACCATTGTTCCATTTGCCGTTTGCTCAATTCGAATTACAACAACGCGTGATGCTTTCTAAACTTACAATTAGAACAATCAAAAAAAAAGCTTTCCCTTCTACTAGTTAACAAGAAATTCGCACGATTCACTCTTTTGTAGAGCAACAGAAATCCAACCGTCAAAATGGCCAAAAATCGTCCACAGGGAAATCACTTCCATGTGTGCTTTTATCTGCAGTTATGCCGTGCAATTTGCGAACAATACAGTCGCTAATCAAACACCCACCTACCTGAAGGTAGTTACAACGCAGCTGTCTATCAAAGGCGCCAAGGCGACTCGATAGGATGTTTGACTGATGCAAACGGTGATCTTGTTTGGATGTAGAGATATATATATATATATATAGATGAGTATTTAAGCGAGTTGGTCGGTGGTAACGGAGAGCTGAGGGGGTGGAAATGGTATATCTGGTGAATCTTTTGCTCTACCTCTTTCCTGCGTTTACTAGGAAGCGTATTTGAGATTGGCATTGACTTTTAAGGTTTGGATACGATTATTGAAGACTGATATGCGTTTCTTTTGAGAATTTTCGAGGCGGAATCTAGAAAATGAAAGTTTATTATCCATGCCATTAATAAGGGAACAATAACACCACTGGCAGATCATAAAAGTTACAATTGTTATACATCATAGTTCATGTAACTTGTTTACTGATATAAACATCAAAGACGCAATGCCAAACATCGGGAGCAAAAGTCTTGACAAACTCGACATGCTCAACCGTCACTTTTCTCTCATCGACTCGTTCCTTGAGCCAGGTTCGGAACATCTCCTCAATCTCGTTCTTCCTTTTTTCTACATCTGCAATCCCAACATTTTCGTGTAAATGTAACCATCCATCCTCACTCAAGATATTCATAGCCGGTTTCCAGGTAGGCTCACTCGTGGGTAAGAAACCACAATTAACATGTTTCACCACGCCAAGACCCTTCATGATTTCCAACTTCCGCTCCGCCTCTACATTACTCTCCAAGAATACCACAATTCTCTCATCTCCAACCTCTTCAATCACCTCTCCCCTCCTCACAACCCTGATTTCCCACCCATTAGCTACCGCTCCCCTCCTCAACCCCTCAACGCTCCATCCATTCAACTCCCACCCCCACTACTCTCCCCACTCCCATCCCAACATAGCTAAAAACAAAATATCCAATTCCCGCATACAAATCCACCGCGGTCCAATTCCTCCTCTCCTCCTTCCGTATCTCCTTCTTTGCACCATCACTCACCGTAGCAACAGCATCATGAAAACCCAACAACCTCGCCTTTTCCTTCACATTCCCTCTACTAAACATCGTCCACCTCGGTGCCCAAACCTGTTCAAGCCCATTCTGTTTCGTACTCACCCAGAACGCATCTTTGAAATCTTTTTCCGTGGGTTCGTAACCCGTGAAATCAGGTCCGAAATCTCCATATAGCATAAGTAATCCACTGGGGCTTCTTAATATATTATCTTCTCCTTTCTCTCTTTGGTTCTCTCCCTCCTTTTCCTTCTCGTGAAGAGGTATCCCGGCATTAATAGCTAGATGCGTGAGTTCCTTGCCTTCTTTCTTTGATACACTCTGAAGAATTTGAGTAAAGAGTGTTTCTTTCTGAGAAGGAGAAATAAGGGAAAGGAGTGAAGTCCAATGTGGCGAGGAAAAGGATCCAGAGGGAAGAAGTAACATGGGTGAATATATAACCCAGCGTTTTGGAGAAGTGGTGATGAGAGAGTCGATAGAAGCCGAGATTTCCAAAAATAATGTGGAGGGGAGTGTTTGAAAAAATGATCGGATGGTGGATTCGATAGGATTTTGAGGTTTGGATTTCGGGGGACGTTTGCTTTTGGTTGGGACTACAGTATTTGATTCCATACTTAATAGTGTGTAAGTATGAGACTCTATAAAGGTATTTGAGTTGTGCTTGCGGTCAAAGAATGGTGATCAAAAGGAAGCGATTTATTTACCCCACGTTTCGCTTACGTAAGCTGTGACCGGCTGAGAACGTTTCTCATTGACTTCACTCAGTAAAATATTCGTCGAAATATTTCATGGGATTCATCAGGAAGGGGATATCATGTATATCTGAGCTCAAGTATGTTCATATAAAAACTATGACGACTTTTGGGAATAATCTAGGATGCGTTCAAGAGAGGCAAATACGGTAACTCAATGGCAGCATTCAGTATACAATTCATACAGGATTGAATTAATACTTCACTTGTGATAAAATGATTTTTGCAATCAAAAGCTAAGGGTAACATAAAATATCGAAAAGGTTGAACTTCCTAACTCGTCTAATAATGTGAGTAAACACCTCGCCCCGATTCTCTCAACTCCCCGTGAGGTTTCATCTACCACATGATAATTGGACTCCGATGAGCTTCACTGCAAACTGCCCAACCACAAAGATTACTCCATTTCAAACCATAATTCTTTCATTTTTGCGTTACTAGTCGTTAGTTTGATCATATTAGCATACTGATAGTACTCAACCTCAGCATTGATTCATGGGATACCTTTAGCCAAGACATCCACAATATATTCCATATTTCCCAAAGAGTTGATATAAACTACTAGAGCACCTACAGATCCGAGATTACTTGCCAACTCAAAGTTGTCATCCTCGAGTTAACAGAGTATCAATAAAAGTGTTTGGACAGAGCAGTTCAGGTGAACTTGCCAAGCTCCATGGCTTGGTTTTTGAGTCTGAATTGTTCACTAAGTAATTGGCCCATCTTTTCCCCAGTAGTTCTAAGGTGTGTTTTGAAAGGGACACTCAAATATTGATGCTACAAATGGATGGACTCAGCCACGTGAGTATGATCGCATCGAATAGAAGGGGGAAAGGAAGTAAGTGAGCCACTTTTCTCATCTCGATTTTTCATTACCTAGACCTCATATAGCATTAAGAAGAAACACATTCTTCCCATTATCGTTCTATGGGCGGCAGGTGCTCCAACTAAGAGCCGAAAGTAGAAACAGCGAAGTACTGTCGTTACGAACCGGTCTCCACACATCCATAAACTGGGCATCGAAGCTGGTGTTTAAATGTAGAAGCGCTACATCCATCGTAATTGCTTCTCACCCAACTCCTCGAACGATTCTCAAATTTGTATCAATGTTTTTATTGGCGTGTCTCAAGCGCTAGCGCGTCCAAGAGAATGGCGCTTACTTCTTGCTAAATTATTCGTCCATATCCCAAAGATCTTTTGCTGAGAAGTGCAATTTCTCACATTTGGGGAGAGATGATCCGCCATTTCCAAAGTCCTATGGTCATCTGCTCAATATCCGTGCCGTTTCTGGATACTCCGCTCACATTATTATAAAGCCAGTTCACGATTCACCAGTGATTCTGGCCTCTTCGAATGAGAGCGTGCAATACATCACTTGGGTCAATAACATGTTCAGCGTTACATTCGTAAGTTTTTCCGTGCCGTTGATAAACTCAAATTTTGCCCAAACCTTTAAATCGCCGGCAAAAAAGGTGCAAGATATATTCGAACCACATAAGAGACGTGGAGAGAAGCATATGCATAAATTAAGCATAAATGAATTTTCACTGCTCCATTGTGGAGCTCGCTTCTCGTAGCAATCGCCGCTTCATAGGGACTTCCCTTTGAGGAAGGTGTGATTGTTACTTAGTAGCTATTGCTCTAGAAAGAACATCAACGCCTCACGGAGAACCACTTCAGAGACGGAGTCAAAAAGAAGCTTTGACTAGGGTGAGCTCGGGTCTGTGTAGATAATCCGGACTGAGCAGCAATGCTGTGAACATGGTAAGAATACTGATGCAGTACAAATCCTTATACTCAAGTTGCGACGGACATTTTTAACCTACCATGGCGCGGTAGTAACTGGTAGACCGGTAGTTAGCCAAATTATTAGCTGCGACTGAAGATAACAGTATCCCAGTGACGAACCGGAGCTACTACTAAATCTAGAAGTGCCGAGAACTTTCAGACATGCAAAACGTTGAAGTGCCGGAACTACTGCCGAATCAAGCTAGAAGTGCCGAGAGATTTTCAGATGTGCAACAAAGATACTGGATAACCCGAAATAGTTAGTTACATTTTGTACATACAAAATAGGGGGAAAGAGAAGATATGTTGGTTTAAGACTGGGGAAAGATTAAATATTTGATGATAGTTACGGAAGATCTCAATAATGATATTGGTAGTTAACGTTGTGCTAGGGTTGGAACTTTGTATTCTTTGAGTACGGGATAAGTGCTGAGATGCAGATGGAGAGGAAGGTACCATATCGAAAAAATGTTGACCGATATGGGATGGTTGTGCCTTAGTAGTAGGTACCCTTTGCGAAGACGCTGGTCAGAGAAGTGATAGAACACGTACAAAAGCTCGGAAAATTACGTGTCACCGATTGTGTAGCCACAAGAATATGTTAAATTCTTCCCTATTATTGATCCGGATAAAACTCCTTAAATTGCATAGCACCGTCTAAGCATGTTGCATCCATAACTCTCGCAAATGGAGCGTCGATATTGCTTTGAGCTCGAGTATAAGCACCTGTACGGTTCGTATACCAGAAATTAATACAAACATTAATCTCAGGGCGAAGGCATCTGCCACCGACGTAGGAAGGACCTTCAATCACTTCAGGATCGAGGATGCAGGAGCTATTTCCGGTGAAGATGGTCACGCGGACGTGGCAGCATGAATGGCACACGCACCCTGAACACAACCTTGGCCCCGATCAAATAGATCTATAGCAAAGGACTTCCAACATCGCGTCTTCTAGATACTGCTTTGCGAAAGAAAATGGCATCTTGGTATGGTCATCCGGCGGCTTACACAAGCTTCCCAAGCAATAAATATCAATTCATCCAGGTAAAATATACATCTCCAACGACATCGATGAGATCAAGATATAAGTAATGAACCTAAAGAGATTGCAAATGATTCCAAAAAAAAAAAAGTATATCCGCATACAATCGATTTGGTTTGGCCATAAAAACTTTATTGGAGTATCCGGCATACTCGCCGAAATCATATATAACCAAAATTCCCATCATCCTGCAGAAGCACCACCTCGGTAATAGAGCAGGACGAGGAACTTTTACATTCTTATCATATTTGAAAAGCAATGTAATAATACCAATAAGAAACTATTTTTGAAATAACATTCCAGCATCAAAGAAATTAAGATCAACAAATAGATAATAAAGCCATTTTCAAATTTCTAGATGGCATCGATACGAAGAAAAGCACTTGACAATGAGAATACCAATGATGGATAATTATCCGGGCATGAATTGCGCAGCATAACTCTAGTTGTGAAAGTAAATGTGAAAGCATCTTTACTTCTAGGTAACTTGTGATATGAGGCCAGAAAAAATGGGAGAGGCAGAATGAATTACTTGGACAAGGAAAACATGAGGAGATATATGGATGGGATGGGCTAGAATACTGATGAAGATTTCTCTGATATAAGACTACGAACACATGATGTGTGTGATATAACCTGACTACTCGTATATACCTGTACTCGGGGTATGGATGATATTTATACTGTACGAGATCTAGATTGGCTGTGTTACTTTGGTGCGTTTATATTTAAGAACTCGAATACACCAATGTCGATACTATGCTATGCTATTCATGCATCGTGAGATGCTACTATTTTTACAGGGAAGAAACCAACTAACCAACCAACCCCAGCCCCCGACACACGAAAAAACACAAGCTCAGTCTCACCCCACACACCATTCCTTCAGCGAGAAAAATAAAAACAATCAATCCATCCCAGTTCCCCCATTTAACAAAAATTCCCTTGCACAGAAATACAAAAAAGCACAAAAAACAAGTCAACACAGGAGGTATTGAACCACACCCGATTTGAACGGATAACCTTTCGATCTGGAGTCGAACGCGCTACCGTTGCGCCAGCGGTCCTGTCGATTATAATTTCCCCTGTTCTTTACCTATTATATACTACAACAGATTTAGTGGGGGTTAAGTATTTGCCGAGGCTGTATGGTGCAGGGGAGATGGGCTGGATGGTGAGGAATATAACATCGTCGTATATATATTTTGTGGTAAAAAATTCTTGTTGAATGTAATAGTAGATACTTAGATTTAGTATGGGGTAGATTTAATAAAATTTTCAGTTCTTATATTCATTTGTACTTAATATCGTAATTTAATCAAACACCACTCATCCTACCTGTCCTCTCTCTATTCTCAAGTGGCCTTGTGAATTCCTGGGATACATACTCTCAAAACTCTCAATATCTTACAAGTTCTATGGTCTGATGAATGAATTGATTAGGGATACTCTTCTGACTTCTATCTAATTGTAGAGATTTGTAAGTGACAAGTTAATAAATAATCTTTTCTTCTCCTTTGTAAACTCGGTGTGTAATCTTATTAGATTTTGTATGATATAACGGAGGATACTTTTTATTTGTTAATTATGTCCATTTTCTATCAGTGATATGTATACTAAAGATTTGAAACTGGATATTCTGCCTACGTACATATATATATATACTCTCCTATGTTATCAATGTCATTGATGATCCGATCCTTCTATTTGACCTTTAGAACATGAGCAGACCATAAAAGTTTCTTTCGTTGCGATAAATCATATAATACCTAGCAAACGATACAGTAACATCCGAATAATTACTCAAAAATCTATAGATGAGAACAAAACCGTACCAAAATTAACACACAACCATACTTCATGACTCGACTCACCCAAGCCCCAAAACCAAAAAGTCCAGGCTCCCCTCCCTTCCCTCAGCTTCGGTTAAACATCCTTAGCGGATATGTACTCCGTAGAGCGCGATAAACTTATAAAGTTTATGTTATCTAAGTTAAGGGTAAGGCATAAGGCCGCGTAAGTTGATCGTGTGTTAGTCCTTATATGTGCTGATCTTAAACTCCTGACTCAGGGATCTTTTGCATGATAATAATTTTCGTCTTCTTGTTTGATGTGGCAGTTGTCAAACTGTGGCTCGCAAGCACATCCCCTAGAGGACGCCAATATCGACAAGCACGTGGGGTAAATGCACTTACCGATCGATACGTTTGAGCATGAACGTATGGTGTGCATCTGTAGCAAGAATTCAATCTGATATAAGTTGAGCCAAAAAAAAAATATACTGTGTAACGATGTGTCGCAGAAGATTGCTCACCGCCACAAACGAATCAGAGACCACTTCATCTGATGTTCAAACTTCGACCCAGATGGAGATTGCAAGCTTGTTTATCCAATACCATATACTCTTGGAGATATAAAGCTATCGATTATCTTAACCAATGGGCTGGCCGATAACAGATTATTGAAGTAGTAATTGATGATGCCACTGGTCATGAGCAAGCATATCCTTACTTAAATGTTGAAAAAGAATGAGCTAAGCCTTCAAGCTCCTCTACTTGATACTCGCCACATAAAATCAGGAGCCAGCCAGCCTCGGCGCACATGGCTTTACAAACAAACGTCAATGCACCATCCAATAGCAAAGTTGTTGGTTAGAGCACTTGCTCATACGCTTAGGTGCAGCGGGAACTTCGGTTAAGACCCTTTGATGCTAGAGCCAACCCTTCAAGGCTACATGAAGCGATCTTGGGGCAAAATAGGGACAAAGTTGAGGCAAAAGCACTAGACCAATAGAGTGTGTTTGGAGACTTCCACTTGTAGCCGAATCCGACTCATCTGTTACATCGATACATGCGGAGCTGAATCATTACTAAATGATTTGATCCTAAATGCCTTTCAAAATTTTGTCGAAATTCCGACTCGCCACCTCCTTTGTAAATGCCAGTGTACAGGTAGAATACGACGGCAATGAGTTCGATGAATTGAATACTCCAAGAAATCGGCGATAGCAATCTCCCATCATCTGTGGGTTTTGCGTAAACGTGGTAAAGCAAACTATTTGCTGTTGTTTGGTCAATGCGTAACTAGTGTCGTGATACGAATGAGAATAAAGTTTTGATGGTTTTGACCCTGCAGAGACTTGACAGATGATGGAGGTTTTTCATGCTTAATGACCAAATCTGGAGAGGAAGGTTTAGCCCACTCAATGAAAGTTCATGCGAAGACAGCATGCAAACCTATTGGGTGAGTTAGAAGATTAGGGTTATCTACCTGTTCATATATATTTAATATAAAAACTCCGGGTTGATGACGAGTCGAGCTCAAGGTCAAGTCTCAACTGGTTGGGTACTTATCAAGCCCACTGTTGATATTTTCACCTCAAATTAAAGAGTACCGTACCGAAGCAACCGTTGAACCACAATTCTATTGATACGGCTCTGTCAGTAGTATGTACTGTTCATAATTATACATTGTGTCGGTGAAGCAGTCTATCTCCATTTATGTAGCAATTTGCAATTTGCGATCAAAATCAAACGTATGCAAGGGCCAAGCAGATACCCAATGATTACCAATAGAGCACAGATAAATCTTGGAAGTCATTTTCCCATTTCCAGCTGGTTGGCTTGAATTAGAAGCAACTTAAATGACATAAATGACCCAAAGTAGATTTCCAGAAGTAAAACAACAAGTCCAAGCTATTTGGGTCGGGGAAATTTGATCGACTGTAGATGAAAATAATAACATTTTGATTAAGGAAACAGACAGTGCATCGAGGCGAGATTGACCCACACATACACATGAGTTCCTCCGGACAAAGGCCACATGTGCGGAGGTTCAATTGTGCTTGTGCTGCAAGTCTCATGTGCCTTTGTGGATGTGCATGTGTACCTGTCTGTTCCTGTTTTATTCTTATTCTTATTCTTGTTCCTGTGCCTGTGCCTGGACAATACCCCTGAAAGTTAGAAATATTTATTTCTTGTTACACCTATACGGAATAATCAAGGATGAAGGCGGAAAACCACATTTTGACCATGATTTTGTTGATGTGTTGTAGTCTTGTAGACTGTATGTAGTACGCGTCCGGGCGTGTCTGTACATGATTTAAGATTTTGTATCATATATCAAGAATCGAGGGGAGATTTGACGGAGAGGAATCACAGGATACTTGCAGGCACAAAACTCAAACCGACAATGAGCTGACTCCTTGGCCTTTCTTTCCCAATTGGAAGTCAGCATTGATGAAGCCTCTCCTCTCCTCTACATATACGGGGTACGGAGTATAATGCGCTATGATCGTTACAATATCTGGTCAGATTATAGGCCTCTTTAGGAAATGGAGGAAAGGAACGCAAAGCTTGCGGAGTCAAGAAATGATAATTATGGTAACTTTGAATCTTACGATGCCCGTTAAAAATACTGCGAACCTTGATGGGCTGGACTGGATGATGGATGAATGGAAGCGAATGGTTCGTGTATGATGAATTGATTGGATGATATGAATTGGGTGTTTTGACCTGAACCTTTTCCTTTTTTTATTTGAATCTCCAATTGATGGAGCAACGACCTGCATGCTGCATTACACTAATGCAACCATACATCACACTAAGATTGGTCTGAATACGTAAGTATAAGTGACACCTGCAGAGAACGGAGTACGGGAATGGAGTTCTGATTGTCGTACATAAGCAAGAAATAGGTACAGAGTATCAAAGCACCCCTCGGTTTGTGCCTGTCACTGCACTCCAATTAGACATCTAGGTTTAATTTCCTTCTGTCGAGTAGTTTGAACCTTCTACATCTTTCCTTTTCTTCCTTTTCTTTTCCAGCACTTTCATCATTCAATTCATCTACCTGAATGCAAGGAGTACTATACTATCATACATGCTATAGTATTATATGGATAGATACTCAGTCGATATAATATCAAAATGTTAGTAGACTACCTATATAAATATAATTATCAATATACCCGGATGACAAAAATGTCCGTTCAAATACTTATTATTAAACATTCAAATATTTATATTCATTCATCTTTATTACATACTAGTGAATTATTATATTAAATGATCATAGCGTTCTTTTGGTCCCAATCTCCTGAAAGTGACCCCACTCTTCAATTTTCAATGCTGTCGACCAATCATATAAAGTTCTCACACCCCTGGAAAACTCTCCTCGCCCTCTCCTTCGTAAAAATAAAACAAAGCTATCATTTTTTTTGGACAAGGAATAGAATAAATATCATGAGCTTCGGCTTTCAATCCTTGTCAGTTCTTCCAAACCTTCTGTGCATGCTCCTCTTTTTGTCCTATGCCCGCTTTCCCTTACCTGCTTGTCTGCCATTTCTGCCATTTCTAATCATCGTCTGGATTTCAACCTTTCCTTCCACTCACTTGTTTTCCTAGCTCTTCTTTCATTCTTTACATTTTCGTGACTGCACAACAATCTGCAGTCGCAGAAAGCAGCAGAAAGGTAAGGCAAGATTGAGACACAAAGGCTTCCATCGTCAATTCTTCCTAGCCTGGATTTCAAAGTGGACAAGAAACATACGTTGTACCAAAAAGGGGCCACTGCAATATCACGAACTCGGGACTTCATTGATAGGGCAAAGTGAATGTCCTAGATCGAATGATATAATCAATTCACTGAATACACTCTTTTGACATTTCAACATTTTAACATCACCTTTCGCTGAAACACATTGCACTTTCTACAAGACTTCCAGTATCTTCTCGAACCTTGTCCTACTCGCCAAAGGAAGCATACTTGGATTCTACAGACCGAGGAGGTTTTGACTTCTCATAATTTATCCCAATCATGGCTCCATCTCTCACCAGCTCAGCGAACTTCCTTCGACCAAGAACGAGAGATCGTGGTGATGAGCGCCCTAGTACGCGGGAAAACAACCAGGATCACAACCTCATAATCCCTAGCCGAACCTCCTCCCTCCACTCAAGGATCACACAACCAATTCCTTCTACACTTAATGCTAAACCTCAAGCTCGAACACCAAAAACCCTCACTCATGCCTATATGGTATGCGGTGTTGGCCGAGAACCAGCACAATGGGTAAAGGCTCCGGCTCCAGCGCAAGGAAAGATCCAACATATGAAGGGTGCCGTTGGCCAATTTTGGCTTCCCGAGATTTTGGGTAGCAGCCCTCGACTCGAGCAGGATAATGAAATCGCTAGAGCTCTTCACTCTGCAATGAGGGTAAGGACGAAAGCCAGCCCAGGGTAAGATTTTACTAATTGGCAATAGGCTTGCTTCCCCCACGATGTCGAAATCTGCACAGGACGCAGCCAACCTCATTGTGTTCACCATTCATTCGTCCTTCAACAAGATTCCTCGCACACTTTGTATGGGATAGCACTACGAGTTTGGTCCCGAGCCGACGAGAAGCGAGCGGAGACAATTCGTGACTTGAGAAGGAGGACAGAATCCGACTTCTACGACTCGGCTGATGAAACATACTGGATTCCATACTGCTTGTCCTTCCTTTCCAGATACCCATTGTATAATCTATTGGGTGATTACCTCAGAGGAATGTGGATTCATTGGAACAAAGCTACCAATCTTTTCCATGCTGAAGAGGTCTCGAGGATCTTGAGCTTTCCAGCTCCTAGGCTCAATGATCTCGTGCGTATCGACATGAAGGATTACGCACTTTGTTACCAGTTTCCATCTTCTCCGACAGGCTTCCAGAACTTCGCCATGTGGCCATTGTTCTCTTGCTTATCTATTCCTAACATTGTAGGAGTAATCGAGGCAGCTTTATCGCCCACACGTCGCATTATCTTCGTTTCCCATTACCCTGCCATGCTCACGGTGGCATCGGAGACTATTCGATATTTTGTTCGAGTTTATGAGTGGAGTGGTCTTTATGTTCCAGTCGTTCACGCAAGACACGCTCAAGAACTTGTTCAGGAACCAGGACCATATATTCTCGGAATTACAGCAGAATGTCGAACTCTATTCACGGCACCCACAGATGCTTTGGTTGTAGATTTGGATCGCAACTTCGTTTTAACATCCAGTCCACCTACCGCTTTGACCGCTGGTCAACGCACAAAGATGGTTAACCGCATTACTCAAGCTCTGAATGGTGATGTAACACCTTCTGGTGTACCACAACATCTTCGTTCAGCTTACGGTGGTGGTAAATTAATTCCAGCTGGTCAAATCATTGTTATGCGAGGAGAAGTCGAGTCTATCCAAGACCCGGAGTGGTGGAACCAGGATGCTACCATGGCCGTGATGGATCATGTTTGTGAGAAGATGGTGAGTAAATCATAATTTTTGTTTCAATTGAAATGCGCTAACTTTCCCAGGGACGAAACACGGGAATCAAAGCTGTCTTTGGAGGAGCCCAAAAGAAACCTTTGATGACTAAGGTTTCAATGAGACATCTTAACGAAATCGTCCGCGAGAGAAATCAATACTCCCGAGATGCTCTCGAGGCGTGGCAAGACTTTATTAACCTCAAGGGTCGCATGGATACTGAACTCGGCAAAGTTACAAAGAGAAACAACTTTTTGGTTGAAGAACTCGAAAGCTGGAAACAACAATTCCTTAAGTTTCAAGCTTTCGCTGAGCAACTTACCAAGGAGACTCAAGATCTCAAGGTTAAGATCGAAACCCACAAGCGAGAGAACAGACGTCTCACCACTCTTATCGAACAACAGAAAGACGATGCAGCTCGCCTTAACACCCGCCTTGCTGGTACGGAGAAGCAACGTGATGATGCTCTCGAGGCACTTGTTCTCCAACAAGAGATGGGCGAAGAACTCACCCGTGAACGTGAGCGCAACCAGAAAGAACTTGCAGAGCTTCAAAGAACCAACTCAACTCTTCTTCGACAAAGAGACGAGGCACAACGCGTTGTTTTGCATCTTCGCAGTCTGATTGGTGGTCAATCTCATCACTTGGAACACTTGGTCCGTACCATCCAAAAGAGTCCAGATATGAGTGAGTACCTCGATGCCGAGTTTGACCAAGAGGACAGAGATATGGGCGAGATTCCTGAGGAAAGCAAAGCCGGTGGTATGCGATCTTCATCAAGAGAGCCTTCTGAGCGTGGGTCATCTCGTGCATCGTCTCGTACACCATCTCGTTCAAAAAGATTCAGCCGATCAGGCGATGATATGACACCTGAGATGGAGGCAAGATTGGTTGGTAGTGTGCGAAATAGCAAACGTTACAGTGCAATCAGCATTGCAGACGTTGCCGATCGTCATCTTCGGGACAAAACGGATGCTATTGCTCACATCATCCGAAACATTAGTGATCAGTGCGCAGCTGCCGTGGAGGGTCTCATGATGGCTCATGATGCAGATGCCGAGGCTGAGGAACTTGCTATGAGAGAGAGGCAGAGAAGACACCGTGAAAGCAACCTTTCAAGCATGGCAAGTGACGGCGAGCAATCTGGCGAGGAGAGTATGCTTCGTCCGAGAAGCGGACGCTCTTCCAGCATTCCTCCTACCCCAGAGCTCAGTCACAGATCTAGCACGGCAATGTCTATCTCTAGTTCCGTCACTACACCTGAAAGAACGAGTCAACAATACCATCCCAGAGACGACTTACCAGCCAAAATTATCGAAGATAGCGATGAAGAAATTGGTGGTAGAAGCGACACTGGAAGTATACGACACAGCCTGCATGGAAAGCCAGGATTGCTCCACCGACCTGCAGGTGCCAGGATAAGTGCACTGGGTGGTCATTAGCCACTACAGCCATTAATGCTCTTGAAGAAATTCGGAATGGAAGAATCTTTATAGCATTAATTTCACCCATACAGTGCACCAAACTTTACTTCTTCAATCTCACTCTTCATTTCTCTTGGCTTACTTTTGGAAGTGGCGTTTAAATGGCGAGGCAATATCTATCGATTTCTTGCTGGGTTTAGCTAGCTAAGCACTCTCCAAACTTTTTATATCACTTTATATTTTTTATGTCAGTAGGAATCCTTGATTTGGAATGTCTGAAGAAGGATTTTTGTTTTCTTTTATATCACCGGATTTGTGGATGGATGGAAAAAGAGGTGTCAACTACCAGGTTGATTGGAAGGAGGGTTGGTAGTGGGTAGATGGATGGATGGATGGATGGCCATGCGAATGGGAATGGGAATAGGAATGGGAATGATATGTACTGAGATACTGTACCCTTTTATTTTCTTTTTTTTTTTGTTAGGTGGGAGCGATTTGAGAATAATACCCGATGTTAACAGTTAGTTGTATGTAAAGTAACACAGATTAAACAATGGCATTTAAGAGAGATGGATGGAGAGGAAAGTAGAGTGGAATAGAAGAGAAGAGAAGAGATTAGTTGAATGGAAATCTTTTAAATATTGAAAATATGTGTACTGGAATGTGATGTGATGTGGTGGGTTGGGAATGAAGGGGTGCATGCAAGTGTATGTTTGGTCTTTTTGTGTGTGAATTTGGGGATGGCATGTATGGATATCTGATTGCTGATGGAGAGTTATATATAATTCTTGTTCTATTAAATTCATTATAAACTTAAAACCTTTACTAAGTCTTGCATTCTTCGAGAAGAATTAGAGAACTTGTTAGAGATTTAGAAAATTAATTAGTGTGTTTAGTTGATTAATTTATTGAGATGTTGAGATTAATTAATCAATGATTATTTGATCAGAACAGGATTGAAGAAGTGATATGGTGTGATATAATATAAGTTTATTATATAACGTAACGTATGGGGAACTCGGACATATGGGGAACTCGGACAGGTACCTTTACACCAAATTTTGTATGTAAAGGTACTTAGAGCGACTTTTTATATCTCTAGAAATACTAGAGATATAGTTTTGATATTTTGAAGTTTGATATATTCAATATAAATATTTAATATGGTAAAATTTTATAGAGATATAAAGTTTTTTCATAAAGATATTAAAGTTTCTTTCAAATTTTCGTTTTTGCCTAACAAAAATTACTATGAGAATTTTTAAAATCGTATTAATTTAAGAACAATATAATTAAAAAGTGTTTTGTAACTTTAATACTGTATTTTTATTAGATATTAAACCTAACTATCAAAAAAAAAAAAATTATCTTTAATATCCATAGAGATATAAAAAGTTGCTCTAAGTACCTTTACATACAAAATTTGGTGTAAAGGTACCTGTCCGAGTTCCCCATATGTCCGAGTTCCCCATACGTTACGTTATTATTTCATGATATAGTTAGCAGATTTAATGTTTAGTGATTGTAAGCTTTGGAGTGAGGTATTGAGGTGTTGAGTGAGAAGTAGGAGATAGTCTTCTAGCTACTGTAGGGGGTAGAGATTGGTAGATACTAGATATCGGATACTAGGATGAAAGATGGAGGTGATTGATACCTAGGTAGTGAATATGGAGATTGTGGTGTGAAGTGGGGATTTTTAGGAGTGTGTGTGTATGTATGGTAGGGTGTAGAAACCGGTGCTTATAGATATATAGGTAGCGAGGAAAGAAAGTATTCGCGATTGGTGTATGGTGGTTGGGCATCGTAGATAGTAGATATAGATACTACTTTGCTATAGTGAATAGGATATTAGGTTTACCTACACATAAAAACGTGAGAAGCGCATAGTGAAAGCTGATATGCACTAATAATACCTACTCTGTACAATACACCCACCACCCCCTTGAACAAAGAGAAAAATACAGAAAATGCTTTAAATCCAATATTGCCATCACATTTCATCCTTGTCAAAACTAGAAACTCCCAATTTATCGTCAATGACAGCGGCTTTCCCAAAATTTCACCATCTGAAGCGTCCATATATGCTTCTGTTCTCAACCGCCCAAAGTATCATCTGCCTAAAGTTTGCCCTTCTTTTGTGTTGCATTCTTGCTTGCTTTGCTTTCATCTCCTGCAGCTTCCAACATTTGCATCTCGTCTGCATTTCCTCCCGCACTAACAACTAGTATGTTGTCCTCCGGGAGGAATAGAGATTCGAGCCTGCTCTGCATCCTCCGAAGACCCGAGTAGATTTTGTTCGTAGATGGAGAAGATGAATTCATCGAGTTCAGATGCTTCAGATCGTGCATCACTTTTGAGATCTGTGTTTTGGTTTCCGGATAAGGAGATCATCTTAGCTCTTGTCTGCTCGCTCTGTAATTGTTGGCCCACAATCCCGCGTACTCTGTAGTAATCACGTTTGGCCTCTAATGTATCGGGTCTCTCAGGTCCCCATGTTTCTAGACGAAATGTATAGACCTTTCCAATATATGGGGGGGCTTCGGAGTGTCTTTTGAGTCGTTCGAGTAAATCGGCTAAATTTGACATGCAGGTGATTGTGGTAGGGTGGTTATTTCCAAACATTCTTTGACTGTTTTGGACGTTGTTCCGGGAAAGGGTTTCGGCATCACCAAATTTCCTTCCTTCCCAGAGAACGCGAACAAGAACAAATTTACTTGCCAAATTCAGCCCGTGGCCGCGTCCCAAAACCCTTGGCGCTGTCTCAATAACTCGTTTTAACAATCCCTCAGCTTTAACAATTTCTCGTGTTATCAGCATATCCACTGCAAGGAAATATGTAGCTTCCAATACTGAAGTGCTCTCGGAGCTATATTTACTACTATAGATAGTAAAAACTCGCTGGCTTATATCAAGCGCTTCTTCGGATTCTGGCTGACATCGAAGCACATGTGATAGTACACTGAGAGCGTGTAGAGTTTCATCATCCTCTCGTCTGTACTTTACCGACATCGCTTCTACCCATTTTCGTGCGATCACTTCTGACTGTTTGTAGAGTTTGTAGTCATAATAGAAATATGTGAAACAATCGTACACAGAAAATAGCCTATCTTTACTGAACGCTTCACTATTATTGAGCGCTACCGTCAGATCTTGATTGTCGTCATGAATATTAAGATGTGAAAGTATTTCCTGCCGTAACTGTAAAGGCATCCTAAACATGTCTTTAGAGGCAGCTTGTTTGATTACTGTTGCCAAAATATAAGCACTGAGAGCCGCAAGATCGCAGCATAGTTGTGGAGGGGCGCGCAGGCGAATCCAGTCTCGAACTAAAGGATGTAGAGATAGGTGGCATTGATTACCTTTATCTCGATACCAGCTTTGAATCAGCGAAAGTTGAGAGAGGTTGTTCAAAATATCCACAAACTTTTGTTGGACCCAATTTTTGTTTTCATCTAGAAACAAGAGTAAGGGTTCTTCTATATTCCACACGTCGGGTCTGTGGAACAGTTCTTTTGTGCAATAAGTTTTGAATAACTGTTGGGATATGTTTTGACAATCGAAAAAGGCAAACAAAGCGAGAATTACCGACTTATGCTTATTCTCATCATCAAGCTTTTCTAGCTGTTGGTAGGAGGGTTCCCAGGTTGTAAAGACATTCAATGCTGTTTCATTTGCAGCTTTTCCAACTTTACGCCGGTATTGTGACATGCGTGGAGTTACCCTTAAAATTGCTTCTCGTCGGTGGTTGTAGTTGTCCATAAATTGAGATAATTCAATCTTCTGGGTTTGGATATATGATCCGGCCTGTGTAATGGCTAGTGCATGGTACCCTAGACGATCAACGATAGTGTATGCGTCGTCGCGCGATGCTGCATCACCTCCTCGGCTTTGTCTTATGAGAAGATCACAAGCATCATCTTTTGGGAGTCCAGGTAGCTTAATATGATGATCTGATCCGACAAGACCGGCAGTATCTGCGTGTCTACTGGTGATTAAAATCCGCCCTTCTTGCCCCATTGGCATAAAATCGGGAAGAAAAAAACTTGACGGGTCATCATGATTGTCGAAAACAACCAGCCACGGCTCATCCAATTCTCGTAATTTATTTAACACCAAGATAACTTCTTGATTATCTTGTGTCGCGTCTGCCGGGATTTTAATGTATTCCCAAATTGCGTCAAAGTCTTTCTTGATTGTGTTCGCGGACGTTGCATCGACCAAAATATGTTTCGGATATTGTTCTTTCTTGCGCGGTGGTAATACTCAAGTGCAATTTGAGTTTTGCCTTGCCCCCCTAATCCACGGAGCACAACAACACGGGATTGAGATTCAGAAGACAATCCTTTTTCTATTTTGTCTAGAATATCTTCACGACCAATGAAGCCATTAACACGACGATTTGGTACGATGAAGTGACTCTTGTTGACGATCTCTACAGAAGCGACATGATTCAATCGAGGAGAGTTCATCTAGGTAAACGTCAGTTAGGAATTGTAGGTAAACATGGCGGTTTGTTTGGCTACTGATATAAGTGTAGATTTGACGTCTGTAACGTCATTTGCGATCGCGCCAACTGTCACTTCTATGTCTTTTGCATGGATGTCGACTGTTTGCAATAGAGATCTTTGAAAATCGGTACATTGAACATTTTATAGCATGCACTCTTTCAAATCAGTCCTTTGGATACAGAGGCCCAACAAGGACCTTTCTCTTTCGAGATCCGCAAGCATAGAGTTTAGCTTTTTATCCGCTCTTGTTCCTGTGAATGCTTTTCGCACTTTCATCCTTTTTCCATCTTCTGGAGTAGCAAGATAGCTTTCAAGACTGGCTTTAAGTTCTTTTGCAGAGCGAAGACAACTCCCTACAACAGGAGAAATTTCGGGTGTTTGCAGTGAGGTATTCTTGATCACTAACTCAAGAAGGTTGATGAATCGTTCAATCTGTTGGATTTGTTTACGAATCTTTTATGGACCCTCTTTCATCTGCGTCCTGATATCGTTCAAGAACTTAATGGCATCATAGCTTTGCTGAGCGATTTGAGAGAAGGCTGCGATAGCACCCAAAATTGATAATGGCTCCATCTACCAGAGTCGGATGATTTATAAAATATATGTACATGTATATATTGTACAAAAAGAGTTGAACTTGCAGCACGGGTCAAATGCTCAAACTCATGAAATATACGAATACAATGGTGATAAAGCAACCTTGCAGTGCGGAGAACATGGAGATCTTATAATAACGGTGACAATTGGGCGTGTGCGCAGCCTCATGAATGGTAACGAAGAATGTGCCACTTTACTCTCATCCATAGGCCATGGATTCAGCGTGAAGTTGCTCGACATATGCATGCGATCACACAATTCATTGGTGAGCATGCATCACGATTGTATGGACTAAGGTTAGCCAGCCTAGATCATCTAAGCCACTGAACATGCCGCAACAATCGTACAACTCAAATCGTTTGGAGTATATAATCAGTGACATGTTTGGGCGTGACGATAGCATTGCGCGAGAGAAGAAATTGAAGAGTCAAGAAGTGCACGCCGTCAATATATGATGTCGGGCGACACCGAGGAAAAGTATATGAATAACATGTGACAGCGGGCTCTAGCGTGCGCAGGTCGCGTTTAATCTTGAGCACCTCTTGCACCGCGGCAGAAGATTGCAACCAAATTCCAAAACCTTTCTACATGTTATTAATTGTTTTGATTTGCTTTTCATGAATTCAAAGCAACAACCTCTTTGCTTTTGAATTGAGCGTACATACATAAGTGCCTACATTTCTATCCGCATATTCGCATTCCAGTCAAACAAAATGCAGGAGTTTGTTAATTTGATAAGTTCAAGTCCGGAGCCAGAGCTTCCAAAGGCTCGCACCAAAGCCGCACCTATAGTTACCTCCAAAGTCCATCTCAAAGACACGTCGCAAAATATTCTCAAGCCACCCACAGTGCAGCTCTTCGACTATAGTTTTGCCAATTTCAAAAATTCGATAGGTACCAGAACAGTGAAGGCCCCGCCCCCACGGGACCCGTCTACCAAACCCAAACCTTCTAAGACAATCCAACTCGACGATGGCAATTCAATTCAACTGTGGTCTGATGAATTTGATACGACACTTGGCTCCGTAGTTAATAGCACATCTGCGAAGCAGAATACTGGATTCTCGAAGCAGTGCAAAGGGGATAACGCTCCCATCGAAATAACAGATTCAGATGATCCATTTACCTCCCCACCACCTGCGAAACGACGGAAAGCATCGCCATTGAAAGACAAAGTTCCTAGGGCTGCAGGTGGATACAAGCGCACTGTTTCTAACATTGAGTCCGTTCAAACGAGTAAAGCAAGATCATCCAAATACGGTTTAAATAGGTCGAAGTCTATGGGTGCAGATCCCTTACTGTTTACAAGCTCGCCAGATGTGTCTGCCGTAAGCTCAAGGCATGGAAAAGCAAAGGATTTGTACAGTCGATATGATGATGATGAAGATACGGTGGGAATACCACGGAAGAAAGCAAGCAAGCCAGACCCTCTGGAGCTCGAAGATTCAGATGAATTTCCATCCATAGAGAATTTGAAATCCTGGAATCTGCCACCAAAAGATGCGAAAATATCTGATGAGCCGACGGCACATTATTATGACGACGATTCAACTCCTGAGAAGAAGAGGCGAGGGAAGGTTGGCAAGTCCAAAGAGAAGGCTTTGAGTGCAACAGAAAAAAAGTCAGCAAAAGATGCTGAAAAGGAGCAAAAGCGTATCGACAAAGAGTATGCTAAGGCTGAAAAGGAGCGAGAGAAGGAAAAGGCAAAGGATTTGGCTAAAGTCAACATCGATCGTACCAAGCCCGAAATTTCGACCCCAGAAATGATCGTCGATTTACCTTCATGCATCCAGGATAAAAGTAATATGGCATTGAGAGCTCGAATCGACATTTTACTTAAAGAACTAAATGTTCAGCAGTCCCAGTGGGAGAATTCAGACCTGGTCATTAAGTGGCGTCGAAAGGTCATTTCGGAATACAACGAAGAGAGTGACATCTGGGAACCCAAAGCACAGCAAATTAAAAATGAAAAGCACATTCTGTGTATTTTATCAGCCAAGAAGTTCGTTGATATGTCTTTAGGGAGAGGGGATATGGATTTAGAGACTCATGTTTCTATTCTCAAATCACACTTCGAGTCTTGCAATGTTCTATATCTCATCGAGGGACTCACAGCATGGCAAAATAAAAATCGGAACATTAAAGACCGGCAATACAAAGCCGCTGTCAGAAGTCGAATTCCAGAAGACGAAGCAGCTGGTGCTAGCAGTAGTCAGAGGCGAAAAGTGCCACAAGCTGATGAATACATTGAGAATGCAGATAGTGCAATTGAGGACTCTTTGCTCAATTTGGAAGTTCTCCATAAAGTAAAGTATTGGCTTACGAGCAATGCACAAGATAGCGCAAAATGGGTTTCACAGTTTACCAAGCACATTTCTACGATTCCATATCTAGCTCAACGCGAAGCTCTCGGTTTGAATTTTTGTATGGCAGGTGGTCAGTTCAAATCCGGGAAAGATGCAACGGATACGTATATTAAAATGTTGGAGGAAATACACCATGTTACGGAGAAGATGGCGGAAGGTATAGCAGCAGAATACCCCACACCTCAAGCGTTGTTAAAGGGATTTAAAGAAAATGGTCCGTTGGCATTGGAAGGGTGTCGAAAATTGGCAAATAAGAATGGTGCACTTACGGATACGAGACTTGGGAAGGCTATTAGTAGGAGGGTGTATAAGGTTTTTATGGAAATTGATCCAGACAGTTTTGATATATAGCATGGTGCAATATTGGTGTTTGGCGCACATGCTTCGGGCTCTTGGGAGAGAGGATGGGGAAATACTTTTAATGTGTATTCTTGGGGAGAGGTATTCAAAAGTGTTTCTACGACAGGGGGATCTAGGTGGTTTTTGATGATCAGAAACTTTTATGCTCAACTTCAAAGGGAGTTTCCGGGTTACTGATATTTTGGTAGATGTTTTATGGTGTGGAAAACTATTGAGTCTTGGTTTTGTAAGATTACATGTGTTGATTTATGGCGCAGTATTTCCTGTCTTATCAATAATAATGATGCAGGCATAATTAAGTCATAAGATCTTACATTCTTTGATATTCTTCACAATCATTTCTCTCTTTTAAAATCTTTATTAATATAAAGGTACATGTCTTGAATCAAAATACAGTTACCCTAAGAATCCCGTGGATAACAACTCCTCTCTTTTCAGAGGATAGATGGGTATTGATTATTGAAAAAGAAAATTGATTTAAATATGCTATGCTATGTTCTTTAACTTTTCGTCCACCCGTTCATCAACCCAGTAACTTATGATCTGATGCTCTCTTCGTTCCTGCCCTCAAGTCTTCATCTCGTATTTATTTTCCATCCTATATCTACATCAGTAGCGGGTAGGGGAGATGATCATGTTTATACCCTCCCTAAAGTACCATGGCCCAAGAGCCCATATAAAGTCCCTGATATGTCCCGTCCGTATCCCCTTGAATCCAAAAAAAAAAAACCTCCGTAAAATATCCTCCGATTCCTCCCTGTCCAATCCTGCCCTAGGCAGAATATTCCCGTAAGTAAACCAAGCTATACCAAACCCAACCCAACCCAACCTAACCAGAGCAAAGCAATCCCCCAAAAATCAACCCATCAAACCAAAACCTCTTCAATCTCATACTGTTCATCAAAACGTCTATTTGCCTCTCGTCTAGCTCTCCTTTCCCGTTCTCGCTCCCAATGTCGTCGTTCGTCTTCGTGGGTATCTCGTTCTCGTCTTGTTGTTCCATGTGATTCATATTCATAGATTGTTCCTCTGATTTCTCTCCTATTTTCTCTTTCTCTTTCTCTCTCCCGTTCCCTCCGATCTCGATATCTCCATTCTTCCTCTTCATCGTCATCAATCATATCCCCTCGGCGCCTTTCAAAACGCGACTCTCTAATATCCCTCCCGTCCCTCTCATCACGTCTATTCTCAGCCCTCCTCTCCCCAATATCTCTCCTCTCCCTTCCATCCACAGGCCTATCTCTATCTGCCCTCTTTTCCTCATCAAAAAATCCCCCATTCTCAAGCATCTGTTCCATTCCTACCACTGTCGCTGCAGCCGCCATGCGACTTTTCCACGGCCCGCCTTCTACCAATAATGTCGCTCCGATCGCTAACCCCATCATCCCTAGTGTCGCTGCTAAATTCTTCGTGGTGACTTTCTTTTTTTCATGTCGATCGCGAGGTTGGTGACGAGATTCGTGCCGACTTTCGTGCCGACTGTCATGTCGAGAATGGGAATGGGAATGGGAATGAGGAGAAGAATACGACCTCTCGTTCCTCGAGTAATGTTGTTGATGTCGCGACATTTTGATCTTGATCTTAATCTTGATCTTAATCCTGATGTGCGGCGGCTCGAATTTATCTCTTTCTTCCTAGGCGTTTAAATTTCCACTCCTCAAAATAATATGTTTGATATATCACAACCCAAAAATCAAACCACTCCGTTTGAAATCCTCAAAATCATAGAAACAAACGGAATGAATAAATAAATAAATAAGTAAACAAACCAAAAGAAAAAAAAAAGAATCACACACAAAAGATAACCCCCCTCAAATACCCCTCTACCCAGTCTCATAAAGCCTCAATCACAAGCTCAATATAAGTCAGTCAGTCAGTCAATCAATCAGTCACTCACTCACTCAACCAGTCAGTCACAAGTGAGGCTGAATTCGAAGGCCGAGCCACCCAAAAACCGCCCGTTGCCTGAAGATCTACAGGGTGTTTTTAGTGTATGTGTAGTGTGCGTGGGGCGCGGGCAAATGGTGTGGATACGTAAACCCTATGATTTTCTCTTCTTTTCTTCTTTTCTTCATCTATTTTCATGTGTGAAGGATTTATTAGGTATGGTGTGAAAATCTTGGGCTGAAAATGTCTGGATGGGTGGGGAATTTTTGGCGGTGGATGGAGGCTAGGTGCGATAAGATATTGGTTTTTCTTATCTATCGATGAATGGATGGCGTTTTGGGCATAAAAGAATTGTTTAGTGGATATTTTTATGAAGAGCGGTTTAGAGCGGTTCAGAGGTGGGCTTTATAGTGTTTCTTATGGGATGCTGGGATGGTAAGTAGAAGTCTTACATCATTTTGTTGGATTCATGGATAGGATAGGATGGGATAGGTAAGATCCTGATACTTGATTGATTCACTGTGTAAGAATCAGACATGTATGATTTGATCTGATGTGTTGGGCGCGTGATATATTGCTAATGTCTTGCTCACGTGATTAATGGATTTTCGATTTGGCTTGTGAAGTTGAAGTTGGCTTGTTGAAGAACACAAACATGTTTGTATCTCCTTTTGAGTACCTAGTACAGTAGAATACTAAGATCTCAAGGAAGGCATCACCAGTATTATGTCAACTAAAGATCTAAACGACAGTTGCATCACTGAAAAACATCTCATCTCATCTGCCTCTTCCTTAGTTAAATATCTAATACCAGCTTAAACTCCCTATTATATTCTCATCCTATTCCACATCTCCGTATCCACCATCAACTAATAACCACTATTCAAACAATTACCACTTCGATTGTAGAACCTAAAATCTTACAGGATATACGTATGTATGTACATCATGTGACTAGCCTCATATGAAGTAGCGAACTTTAATATTTCCCTTTAATATAAATAAGACCCCTCCTCTTATAGTGTAATGAGCAAGAATGAGCAACATACAAAACCTATAATAATACTATGTGAATAGTATCGCCCGAACTGATACCAATAATATATGTACTATGAATCATCATAACTGAATAGATAAGTATTAACGAATCGATTCAAACAAACCCTTGGAAATTATTACTTGAGCACTAACCACCTTAACCTTACTACAAACAATATCTATAAAACCTAAGCGCAAGTAGAACACACCAACCACAGTAAACTACCTAAACATCATTCGAGTACTTATACTCATAGATATAAAGCAAAGCAAAGCAAAGCCCACTTCAAATTCCATCCACACAAAAACCAAACAGCACAATCAATGCACCCTACATCATTCCCAAGACAACCCTCGTATCGGCAACCGGCTCCCGCCTTTACTGCATACAAATAACAACTGCCTCACCCCACAATCACCATCTACCTACATCTACATCTCCACTAACCACTTATATACCTCCACCACACCACCTCCCTACTCCCTATACAATACCATCCCCTCTTAACGAACCAATCACATTCTCCCCATTACGATATAAAATCCACAATGAGTATGTGATCTCCTCGCCGTTAAAACGGTTATGAGCTAATTATAAGATCTACAAGACTTACTCTGTACTCTGTACTCCGTACAACAGATAAAGATACGGACAATATGCGGACAAAATACGGATAACCTTATTCGTATCTAGTTGTGTGAGCAATAACCAAGTAAGATAAGACAAGACAAGAAAAGAAAAGACAAACTCTAAAAGCGTATTCATGAAAGTAAGAAAAGTACTACTCGCGATACCCGTATATCCCTCAAGCTCCTTGGTACTACTATATGTACGTATCGTATCGATAGGGATTCATGCTCCCTCTAAATGTACTCCGTATACGATTATAAGAAAAGATGGGATGGGATAGTATATTTGAGTACCACTACAATATATACTCCATACAGAATAGACATCTAGATAGGCTTATTATAATAACCAAATATCCAAATATCCAGGCCCATTGCATAAATTCCCACCATTACCCATTACCCATTACCGCCACCCACCGATAATTCGGATCCCACTCCTCCCTGACATGTTTCCTCCCTCCTCCCCCTCCGCTCAAAAAAAAAAAAAAAAAAAACTAAAAAAAATTCAAACAACACACCGCGAATATGTACCCAGTATCTATCTAACTATCTAGCCTCTAATCGCATTCTATAATATAAACCCCAAGAAGAAACAGTTTCACATCTATATCCATATCCATCCACATCCATCCACTGTATACAAACACCAACACAATAAACCCACCCACCCAGACACACACAAACCAACACTCACTTCATTCACAGCAAAAACACAATACGAGAAACGAAAACTGCAAGAAACAAGAAACGAGAAACAAAAGACTAGAAAAAAGGGGCGTCTTGGCACATGAAGTCTCATTCGTATTGACGTCTAGCTTCACCGTTACAAGCAAGACGTGTCGATCCACTTACCTTACGGTTACTGCAATCTATCTATCCATCTATGCATATACAAAATACAAAAAATAAATATAAATATAAATTTGTATTCCCATTCTATACTACCAGTACCTACCTACCTACTGATTTTTCGATATTGTGATTCATCTGATCGTTTATCTTTACCTATCTACTGGTATTCCATCCATTTATTTATTATAGATAAATTTCCTCGATAAATTTTCTCTTCAAGAGTCGAGAAATAAAAATGAAGACACAATCTCTAATCAGTATGGGCTTATTGCCTATACTATCAGTAAACGCAGCATATACCTGGCCTTCAAAATACGACGAATTAGAGGATATTCTTTACCTACAAGCAGGATACAGACGCTACGGATTTAGAGACGGTAAGTCATTGGAAAAGAAAAGAAATATATATCTTCAGAAGTCATCCATCAGAGCACTTCACTAATTCCCAAAATAGGTGTTACACCATGTGGCTTCTCAGCTGATGGTAGTAATCGAGAGACAGCTGCAGAATGGATCAAAACGGCTTACCATGATATGGCAACGCATGATGTAGAAACTGGTCTTGGAGGACTTGATGCTTCGATAGCTTATGAGCTTGGTCGTGCAGAGAATCCCGGTTCGGCTTTCAATGGTACTTTTGGATTCACAAACAACTATGCCTCGATCAAATCGTCTAACTCTGATCTTCTCGCCATGTCTGTCGTTGTTGCCTCCATGGCATGCGGAGGTCCAATTATTCCATTTCGAGCTGGACGAATTGATGCCGTGCAGGCTGGTGTACCAGGTGTCCCTCAACCTGATCAAGATTTGGCCACGCACACTGCCATTTTCGCAAAGCAGGGTTTCAACACTACCGAGATGATTACCATGGTAGCATGTGGACATGTTCTCGGAGGAGTTCATGGCGTCGATTTCCCTCAGATTACTGGTGATAATAACGAAACTAGTTTCCCACATTTTAACAGCCAATACGACAACTTTACCAACTCCATCGTAACCGAATACCTAGAGGATAAATCAATCGACGTGCTTGTGGTTGGCAAAAACGACACCTTTAACTCCGACAAGCGTATCTTCGGTGCTGATAACAACAAAACCATGACTTCTCTAGCAGATCCTTCTAATTTCCAAGCGCAGTGCCGCGACATTTTTGCCCGCATGATCGACACCGTTCCTGCAAGCGTCACACTTTCAGAAGTCATCACCCCCATCGAAGTGAAGCCAACCGAGCTTTCCCTCGCCTTAGGCGCAAACAACACATTATCCTTCACAGGTTCTATCCGCGTGCGTACCACCCACCGCAACGCCGACAACGTTACCGTATCCCTCCGCTACCGTGATCGCAACAACAACCTCTCAAACACCACCATCTCAACCGAACGCGGACGCTGGCAACTAGGCCAAAGCTATGGATTCGCCAGGGAAGTCTTCACCTTCTATGAATTCGACACTGCTTTCGATGTTACATCCAGCATCTCATCTTTCGACGTCATCATCCATACAGCTGGCGAAGCTGATGAGATCAACACCAACAATGGCCTCGGATTTCCCGTCTCAGACGCAATTCTTTTGCAAGCACCACAATCCTGTCAACCACAAATAATCGTGAATGAAGCAGGCCAATGGAATCTCACCATCACCGCCGCAGTCCGCGCCGATCGTGTCGGGGAACCTGTAGCTTTCGACTGGGTTTACAAACGCTTCATCCAAGGCGTAATGATAAACCAATTGGAGGTACAACGTACGGTTATGGAGAAAGCGAGTGAGGAGATTGGTGGATATTATCTTTACACGGCGACAAAGCCAATTGATACGGTACAGTGGTCGACAACATTTGACTTGGTATTGGGCGAGGGAGACAATGTCTCCAAGCTTGAGTTCCTGTCGACTGGAAACTTGGCCTCTACCTGTCAGCCTTTTCCTTAAGCTGAATAGGGGATTCGAATTTGTAATTGCATAATAATGAGACTGTTTCTTAATGATATATGAAATCTTAAACCAACGATTCCTTTTGATAAATGAGATTCTAAACCAATGATGCTTCTGATGATGTCTAAATCCTGGCTAAAAGCTGGATTCGTGAAAGTTAGATAGCCTGGTTGGACGAAAAGGTACAGGAGAGGGAAGATGCACACAAAACTAGGAGGAGTGCTGTTGGTGCAAGGGATATCCTGTACTCGATATTATTCGATATAGTTGCAGCAACACAACATGTCCTCAGAATTTAACAGCATTCCACAATATAAATATCACCACCGTTCAATCTTACCTACCATAGCCACATTCCCAAAGCCATCTACAATTTTCATCTCCGAGATCTTTTCTATTTCCTCCTCCATCAATATCCTATATGCCTCTCCTACATAAAGCGGACTCGTAGCTCTATACGTGACTTTTTTGGGCAATAATATTGTACCAATATTATCCCCTATAGCTTTTTCCTCTTTCTTTTCTATAACATGTCTCCAGAAATCAACCATATGTATTAAATTCAACGGACCATGTACAACGCAATCCCGATGTCCCTCTACTTCCCGACACCACTCACGGTTATAATGTATTTTATGCGCGTTGAATGTTAGAGCTGAGAAACGGAATAGGGATACGGGAGTATGAGTGATATCGCGCATGTATGGGGCCGAGGGAAATGGAATGCGATGAGGTAATGCTGGAAGAGGAAGGGGATTGCTCGGATCAATTGCTCGTCTGAATATCCAATTCCTGTTTGTGCGTTGAATTAGTATATTAGTATGTATAGGCAGATTAGGTACAGAAATATGAAAATTAAATCTACCTCTCCTTCACTCTGTGTATAATTTTTCTCTTGAATACAAAAAATAAAACATCATGGCAAAATAGGTACCACATACCTTCGATCCACAAGCGCAAGGCCTTTCGAATTCTCAAATTTCTTCTCTACCCTCACAACCATCATATCCTCTCCATTTCTCGTCCTCTTCGCCTCTGCACTTTCCAACTTTGTTTTTTCAACTACCTTCTCTTCCACAACTAACTCATTCCCACTAACCCATTCCAATTCCCCTCCAGCCCACATTCTCCTCGTAAAAGGTACCGGCGGATTGAATATCCTATCTGATCCATCCGATCCCAATTCAAGCTCTGCATCCGACGGAGTGAAATATACAAGATGATGACATGGAGGAATGGAAACGGGAACGGAAATGCGTATAGGCTTTGAGGTGGAGAAAGTAGGAAAGGGCAGCGTAGCATTTAATTTACGGAGTTGGTTTATATCGAGGATTTGTGAGCAGATTAAATCTTTACGCGATTGTGATTGTGATTTCCAGTCTTGGAGGAGGGTCTCGGCGAATGAGGATGCGGATACGGATGCGGCTGCGGCTGTAGGTTTGATGGTATGGAGATGACGAATGCCATGCTTGAGGAGTGGATGTGACATTGTGAGGAAAGAAAATGAAAAAGAATTGGATAAGGGAGGGAGGAAAGATATTTTGATATCTGGGGTAAGATTAAATAAAATGGTAAGCTCTATACCCGACACTATCCACGCTACATGAGCACGGGACGGGTGTACCAAAATAATTTATTCCCAGGGCCCTAACCTTATCAACCCCAAAATCCCCACTAAATAAGAATTCTGTTCCGTCCCGACGCAACTGACTGATAAGGTTAACTTTGAATAAACGTCCGTTTAATAAACAAGTCTAACATCAAACCTCACACAGTACAGTCCAGCCTCTTTAGTCTAAAAAAAATATCATCTATCAATACATCAAAACCATCAAAAAAAAAAACCTCAAGAAGAAAAAGAAAAAAAAATCCAAAACGTTTCATCTAATCTTCAATATCATGCATATTAGTGGATAATCACCCAAAAGTTTTAAAACGTCATCCTATGAGTTTCCGAAAAGAATATATGAAACCAATGAATGACCAGAGAGATGTTTTGGATTTCACGGAGTTCGCAAAACAAATAAGTAAATGATTCGCAAAATAATACTATCCGGAGAAATAATACTAGGTAGTTAGGTGATGGTTAGAATTTACATTTCATACGTGTTTTCTACGTTTGGTTTTTATTGCGTTTGAAGTTTGTTATTTATTTATTGTATGGGTAACCTTACGATTACCCTGCTGGAAAATATTGATATGTAAGACAGATACTCGAGGAGATAGATTTGAATGTCCTATTCATTGCGTCGGGAAGGATAAATCATCGCGCAAATGCCCATACTTTCATCCAGAAACTCCCTTCATAAATATCGAGTAACTCCCCTCCCCCACCCTTTCCATCATCAGTTCATGTCTTGCCAATAAAAGTACTATTTCATATGAATCACTAAGCGAAGATGAAAAAGAAAAGTCATTCAAGACATTTCCCTGCTTTCTTCCAATCTCTTGATCATTTCTCTCTCTTTAGGGCTACGAGGACTAGCATCGATACCGAGAAGTGCCGAGATACTAGTAGCGTTATTCTTGGCTTCTTGAGCGGGCGATGGCAATCGTGGAGGAGCTTGGATGTTGTAGTGATAACTTGCTGGGTTGATAGCGGGCATATCTGGGGATACACATGGGGTTGGTGGCTCCTTGGATGCGACATCTTGTTTCCAGGTTTCCTCTAATAACAGAGGGGATACGCCTCCACCATACTCAGATGCGATGACGTTCCAGAAGGAGTTTCGATGAGCTTCGTAAACACGACGAAGACGTTCCTTGTCAACACTGGCAATGGTGACTGGTGTTGACGTCATGATACAGTCGAGACGGAGGGTTTGATTGGCGGTGGAATCAGTAATTGCGCATCGAGAGGGACATGGCTTGGGTAGAATAGCAATTGGCTGGCCAAGAGTTCGAGAAGGGCTGTTGGAAGCTGAGCGAGATAGGAGTGAAGATGCGGATGGTAGCTGAACGTGATGAGGTGATCCGGGTGAGTAGTTGTAGGCAGGTGGTGTCGCTGGGAGGCGTGTAGTTTCATTGATTGGAGATGGTAGCCGAAGAGGGAGGACCGAAGATTCTGATGCAGAGCTATCGGAAGAGTTCATCGAATTAGTGCGCTTGCGGCGATTGCTCCCATGGGACAATTGATGGTAGTGAAGACGGCAAGCCAATTCAGTCTTTTTCAAATGCGAAGCTATGTGCTTATAAGGCATTTTTTGAAGACGAGTTTGCAGGAGATAAACTTCCTGTAGATAACTTGGTTAATAAGCTTCTTTATGACATAATGTTATACTATTCGTACCTCATCCTCGCTCCATGCTCTGCCACCACCAGTAGAAGCCGTTTTACGATTCTTCTGGATGCCATATTCGTGACGTTGGGTCACGTCGACTGGAACGTATGTAGATGATGCCACTTGAGTGTTCATTTGGTTTGAAGACATGATGATAGCCGTTGATTTGTGTTTCAATTGGAAACTGTTGTGCTGAAAAGCTGGAGAGTATATTGTGTAAAAGATGGTTACTTGGCAATCGGAAAATTGAGGATGTTTTTAAAATGTTGTTGTAGAATGTAATCTTTGTCAAAAAGTCGAGATTATAAAAGACTTATATGGAGCAAATAAAACTAGATATAACTACAATAAAGAATGTAAAGCAGCCAAGCCAGTTGGTAAAGAAAGGAAAGTAAAAATTAGCTGCGAAATAAGTAGTCACGTCAAGTGTATGGAAAGAAGGAAAAAACTTAAAGAGCAGAATGATGGATATTATATGAACCGACTTGGTTGTCTGGAGTATCGATAAGACCAAGTTCAGAGGCCTTTGGAGTTCAAAACGTTCTTGCAGGGAATGACGAGGAATCGATGTTCGTCACAGTTTCTGATTTTGCATGGGTGGAGTTGCATATCTCCATGAGTTTTCGTCCCGTTTCTGCATCAAGAGAGTGTTTCTCAGATACGAGGGTTAATGATGCAAATCTCTGTTTGACGTTTGAGGCGGGGTCTCAAATATGATAACCTCGACGATATTCAAAACTTGCTCCAATATCTCGCATCTCACAGGAAAACTTTCCAAAATTTCCACTTGGAAGCGAATTTCCAATAATTCTACCTCCTGGATGGTTGAACTTTCCATAGCATCCATGCGACTCCGCAACATGGCGTTCTTTCATTAGGGATATCACAATTGCTATGTAATAATTATATTGTCGCGATGAACTTTAACAAAGTATGAAATATTGAAATTGACGATTTCTGCAATGTTACAACACCTGGAGGAGTCGAGGGGGAAGCGAGTTTCGAAGAGTTTCGTGCTGGGATTGGGTGACCCTCACTGACCCTCATTTTGACCCTCGAGCCACCAATTCCAAGGACTTTAAAAATCTTATCTCATTCCCCCTTCCAAGTAAAAAGCTTCGAGTGCATGAATAATCAGGGAAATCGGACGTAATTAAGACCAAAGTTGGAACAATCGCCGCGCGCCTTTTTGATCATGCTTGGTGTTTGAGTGTTTGGACCATTTAGAGGGCGTTTTGGACGGCTCACCCGTACTACCTTTCTTGCCCTATGCCATCGATACTTGAGCAATTAAAAGGACTAACGATGAATGACAGGTTAATAATAGGAGCAAACAAATCCGAAATAGGATAGTGCCATTATATTTCTCGTCGCACCCGCACAAGCACAGGCACGACACCGATCTATACTTGCCAAGATGCTAAGAAACGTTGTGTTAACTCAAAGCTATGGTATTCGCAGGAGATACCACAAACGTCCTTTGGCTCTCTCCCCAATCTGAATCAAGGAAGCTTAAGAACACTAAAAGTCGGGAGGTTGGTCGGTATTGATTAGAGTTAGGCGGTTGGTCGGGGTAGAATGGGTTAAAGTCTGAAATTAATGAAGTATTCTTGCATAAGATGTTTCGAGGTATTTTGAGATATTGCAGTCAGTGGTTGGAGCTTTTCGAGTCAAATGATCGAAGCGACATTTCGAACTTCTTTTCATTGTTCGTCTCAAATCATGTAAGATACTCAATTTTGCAGATTGAAGCAATACAAGTGTTGAAAAAAGAGATTGGCAAGTATCCGGAAGGGTCAACGTCCGATCTTTTGGGAGTGAGGTATCACCCTAAGGGTGTGTATACCTGCTGTAGGTAGGTCTAGGCAAGTCTGGGTACGAGGTATTGGTTCACCAAGACACCAAGGGCTTTAATTTTGACAGCCACAACAGCCCTATAGGAAAGTAAGTGAAAGAAAGGTATAAGGTATAAGGTATAAGGTATGACCCATGTTGATGTACTCATTAGGGAAGTATGCTCAAGTGTGAAAATGGGCCATTAGTCATGGAAGGATAAGAAAGATTGATCTCAAAGGGGATGGTGGGAATGTACAAGCTTGGAAGATGGACTAATTGGGTTTTTATTTTTTAATTTTTCAGATGAAGGCCTTGGCCAAGCGTGTGAAGGAGGAGGGGGAGGAGGTCGTTAATCCAACCCATGTCTAGCACCCTTCACTAGCACCCTTCACTAGCACCCTTCACTAGCACCCTTCACTAGCACCCTTCACTAGCACCCTTCACTAGCATCTACCGCACCTACTGCACCTACCACACCTACCCTGAATTGAATAATTGACCGACGTTAAGCTTACTTTCAACCTTGTTCAATATTCATTGGTGAGGGTCCATAGCATCTCGATCCGGCCATTTCCAAAAGAATCCGACCTCTCCCCTTGGGGACATACTACCGACAATATTCAATTTACCCGTATACGGTATACATACGATATACATACGATAGACCATACCAATGATGGTAAATGCATCTCTTGAATCTACTCTGTACATTAGATAAGAATACATTTGCTAGATAACGATTGCTTTGAAAAAATCCGACCAAGTATTGGATGAAAATGGATGAATTGGATCAAATGGATGAATTGGATTAAATGGATTAAATGGGTTAATAAATATGGTGGCGTGGGCCTCAAACAAGGTCGATGAAATCCTGTCACCCATTATGTCTCGAGGTCATCACATGAAAACGAAAGATTTTCATAATGGGAGAGGGAGATCATACATAATACCAGGTGTAGGTATGGGAAGATTACCTTGGTAAGCAAAACACATCACCAATAAAAATGATTGAAATTGGTCGGAGGAATAAATCATTAATCATTTAGATTATTTATGCGCCCGTCGCGCTGTTGTGCCCTTGGTTACGACCTTCAAGATATGTGATGGCTTGTTGGTTAAGGTTCATTTTGTCAATATGCTGTGTTTTGATTCTTAAATCCTGTCATCATTTCTCCTCCGCAAATTTCCACCATGGAACTTTTAGAAACTTGTTCTATCCTCCTCTTCTCTCGCCCCGGTCTCACCCCTCTCTCATCCCTCCCTCATCCCAAATGGTCGGACTTCAGCTATCCGAATGAAAGGATCTTTTCAAATACCTAGGTATTGTCAGATGAAGGTAACAAGATGCAATTGAAACAATACATGTTATAATGTGAGATCTTGTAGAAGGTTCTTTCCCCCTCAAGTACAACTGTAGAAGTCCGTGCATTCCACTCCGCATAATCTTTCACGTGTGAAGCACGTGATGATAACAACCTATTTTTCTCTCGGACTTCATTTTGATGAATTACAGCAGATGATCGGATGCGACTGACCGGCATCCTTTTTCCTCCGATGACTTATCCTATAGTTTGACAAGTATGGCTAGGTGCAGATACGCCAGGATACATAACACCGTTCCTTTGGTTAGCCAAGATCATGCATGTATCCGGAGGTATTCAATTGACAGTCTCACCACAGTTCATTGTTCACGAGGTATAGTCCGTAGTAGTTTCTTTGACTGCTAAACCCAAACTGCCATAATATAGCCGTCCAGGAGGAAATAGTCACGAGTCACCTTGAATTGTTTTTATGGAGAAACAAAACTAAACAACACAATCCACCATCTCAAAACCTCCGAGGAACGAACCTGAGGGGGCTGTTGTTACCTTGTTACCTTAAAACATTAAACATCAAACAAAACAAATGAAAAATAAAAGCCGTTTCAACACGGATGATTCTTAGTGTTCCTCGGATGAGTAACACCTGTCAGCTCTTGATGCCCTCAATCCTCCTTGACCACTCCCTTGAAACAAACATCTGAAAAGCTAAAATTGTTTGTTTGCTTTAGGCCAACTCTTTTTGGATTTCGAAATCTCAAAATCTATTGTTTGGAAAAACAATCCAAACGGTCGGGTCTCACCAGTCATGTTGTTGGGTATATGAATCCCAACCACTCTTTTCCAATCACGGCCCGAGGATCCCGTCCATTATCCAATAACCGGCACGGAAGTGTCATCGAGTCCATATACCGCTTTTCTATTCATTTTGCATTGGAAATTTGAATACTATGTCGGCGAATATCTGGTGCAAGCTGCGGCGAAGCAACGCCATTTCGAACCATCGGGAACGCCCTGCAGTTGATAGCAAACATTTCTACCATTCACAATGAACACCTTACGCCGTATACCTTGGCCTTATCATTTGTCTGCATTATCAAGGTAACCCAATGGTCATTCCTTGTACTGTACCTACGGGGATATATGTAATTGATGTCAAAGGATTGAAGATGCACAATGCTGTCAGATTAACCAAACACTGCCAACATGATGCCTCGTACACGCATGGACCTGCAATGGATGGTCAATTAATAAGGGACGGAAACCAACCTAGAGGGGAACAGAAATTAGATAGGGGGGTGCCACGAACGGTGACGAACCAATTCATCTTGTCCTAATAGTGACAACAAAGTCAAGCCAAGATCTTGATGGGAAGGGGAGAAGTACGATAGCCTCATCTAGAACATGAATACTCTATACACCGCTTTCATTTCAAGGTTTTGATACGAGGGCAATAATTGCTGGGATATTCCCGCCGAATTAGGATATACTACATCATTTTTCTTCTAACGAGTGCAATATTGATTAATACTTCTATGACAGTTTCAGAAATGAATACAAAAGAAACTGTGGACATATCGGTGAGATGGGTTTAAATGAGAAGCTCCAAGATCATAATTTCGTTTGTTAATATGATTCTAATTAGGTAGAGTGCGAGATGTATGGGATACTGTACTGAATGTTGCATACCCCGCAGCTTTCGCTTCTAGTTTAAACGACAAGACTATTCTTACAACCATTCAGATCTCTCCTAAGACAATCGACATTTTTTCAACCTCCAATCAAGAAATTCTATTCACACCATTACATGCATCTTACTGCACGGCGAGCTGAGTTGAAGCAACCAAGTAAAAGCCGACAGAAATTCTGCATCACGATGACTTACTGCTCTCCGTGAACAAGGAAAATTTTGAAATGCAATCAACTGCATCCTCTTCACCAAAAACCCACGTTCATCCCCTGCCTGGTGTAACCAAAACGCCGGAGAAATACGAAAGGCTTTGGGGCCTCTGGTGTTTCCTCGTCCTTTCTACCTAGAGAGGACTTCTATAAACCCTAGGTTTTGGTAGTAACACAAAGGTTTACACATAAACGCAGACGTGGATCTGGCGATCTTTTCCACTCGGAAAATACATGGATATTGACCCATTCATGTATGTTCATTTCTCACTCACACCCCAATTGTCAGCCTGTTAGAGCAATTTGAGCCGGTCAACCCCCTTCACTTTCCGTCCTCGCAAGCCGCGCTGGAAATGAGAAATTTAGAAGTACATTCGGGCTAACAAATATATCTTAATACATGGCCAATACCTTGGAATTATGGCGATGCATCTCGAAAATTTCGTCGCATGTGCGATAGACCTATAACTGGCTCTTCAACCGCCCAGAGGTCATTACAAGTACCATCGGTACCATGTATGTACTGTGGCCCGATCGTAGACAGGCATATTTATTATTGTTTCTTCCGGGTTTTATTCCTTGTCCACATGTTTCCAAGAACATGTACAGAGGGTACTTTAATGTCAAGATGTGGCCGCCTCCCGTCTAGTCATCAGATCACACCTATAACAACAAAATCCCCCGTCGTCAATCTTGACACAAATTCTTGCTCGTCACACCATATTAGATGAATGGACCATCGACTATATCTTTCAACCTCTCCACTTCCCCAGACGCCTTACGGGTTGTCCTAGGATCCGAAGTGGTGCCAAGCGCTTCCAACGGTCTTCGGAAAGATATGCAGAGAAAGGGATGTCAGCCCTGTTGACCACATTCAAACGTTCCCAAGTACATGAGAACGTAAGTACCTTTGTACCAATACCCCAGCCTCACACGGTGATCTTATGAACCAATCCACACGCGAGCCTACAGCTCCCTCCGACACCTCTCTCGCGCAACAACCACCCAAAAACTTCTCCAACCTTCCCGACCTCGAAGATTTCTCTGCCTTCTTTACGTTTCCCGCGCACTCACCCCCACCCATTCATCCAATGTCTAAGCGTGTAGATAGACAAGAAATCGATCCTAACGCGAGCTTTTCTCTCTCACACAATCATCCATCAACCAGTGACACATCTAATCTCAAATCTGAGATTCCTTCTCCAGCTAGCGCTCGAAATAAGAGGCGCGCCTCGGGTCCAGCGACTGCGACGAATACTTCAGGTTTTAACATGCAGTCAGGTTCATCTATTGCGGGACCTTCTTCAGGGGGCTTAGATGATCCGAATATGGCACCGTCGATGGCACCACCAGCCAAAAAGAGTCGTACCAATACTCCTTGGACGCCTGCTGAAGAGCAAAGATTAAAGAATATGAGAGATGCAGGTAATAGCTGGGCGGATATCGCAAAGGTAAGATAAAGCAAAAGTCAACTACCAGGACAATTTAAGAGATTTCATGTCAAGTTGCACAAAGCCTTGAGACAAAACTAAGACTTTGAATCTGAATTTGTTTTTGCAGACTTTCCCAGCAAGAACTGAAGGAAGTGTTAAAAAGCATTGGTACAAGGTAAATACATATTTCCATTCTCATACTCTTTTGCATCGGACACTTGTCTCGCTTGAATGAAAGTAGTATAGATGGGGATGATAGACTAACTAGATTTTAGGACATGCATTATGCGGAATTCGCGGAAGATGAGGTACGTTCTGTCTTTGCATCATGATGCATACGGTACGTGCTGATGCTTAAATAGAGTCAGGCTTTACTCGCTGCCATTAAGGATTACGAGGCGAATAAGTGGAAGGCTATTGGACAGAAAGTTGGAAAGCCCGCTAAGGTTAGACTTCTTTTTTCTTCTCTTTTTCGCGCCTTGCTTTTGGTTTTTGTATATGTATGTATGTCTTTGGACATACTTGTCTTTAGATACATATATTGTTGTAGTATCAGTATGGGTATGGGTACGAGTAGTATTGATACATCGAACAAACTTTCAAAACCCCTGACTAACCAACCTCCCCATCTTCATCATAGGCATGCGAACAATATGCCAAAGATAATTTTGGCGGGAAAATATAAGGAGGGGTGCTGGGTGGAGGAGGAAGGGGAGGAGGGAGGCAGGAATACTCTCATCATATTTCTTGTTCAGAATTTTTCATCTTCAAAATATTTTCTTCGGAATACCTTTTTTGGCAGGGTTGGGGGAAAAGGCTCGGAAGTATGGTAGTTTGGCTTCTATAGGTTCTTGGTTTAACCCCGTTCGGTTTTGAGGACGGCTTTTGGAAAATGGCTTTACCTATCTATCTTATATGTACAAGCATGGATTCTTTTTTATATTTTTTTGCTAGAAAAGTCCCAACTTCTTTTTTTTTCTCTTCGCGCCACTTATCTTATGATCTTTAATGTGTTGGTTTCTTTGTTTCTTTGTTTCTTTGCTTCTTTGCTTCTTTGCTTCTTTGCTTCTTTGCTTCTTTGCTTCTTTGCTTCTTTGCTTCTTTGCTTCTTTGCTTCTTTGCTTCTTTGCTTCTTTGCTTCTTTGCTTCTTTGCTTCTTTGCTTCTTTGCTTCTTTGCTTCTTTGCTTCTTTGCTTCTTTGCTTCTTTGCTTCTTTGCTTCTTTGCTTCTTTGCTTCTTTGCTTCTTTGCTTCTTTGCTTCTTTGCTTCTTTGCTTCTTTGCTTCTTTGCTTCTTTGCTTCTTTGTTTGATGAGTTTGTTGAGTTTGTTCTTGGGTTGAATGTGGAATTGGTATGGTATTGGGAGTGGGATTTGGATTCGAGCTGGACTTCGGATTCGGATTAGGTACGAATAGCATCTTGGTCCTGATATACAAGTTGATGAATAAACAGATAATTGGAAAATTAAAATGGAAAACTGGATCAGATTTCTAGAAACTTTTGAATAATTAAGTAGAGAGGTTTGACTTTTTTTATCATCTCTTCTTTGACATTTTCATGCTCATGTTCTTTTTTTTTTTTTGGAAACTTCGTTTGTTTTTCGTTTATCTTTCTTTGGACCTTGGATCTCGGATCTTGACTTTGGTTTTGGTGCGGGAAAGTGGAACTGAAACTGGGTGATCTGGTGATCTAGTGATGGGAGATGGGAGATGGGAGATGGGAGATGGGATATGGGAGATGTGTGTGAGGTGAGGTTATTAGTGGGTTAGTGTTTGATTGGATGGGATTAGTGGGTAGGATGAGACGGGATTGATGTCTTTATATTCTTTCTGTGCTTGATGTGCTTGATGTGCTTGATGTTTGGATTTGTGAGGTTGAGGTAGTTTGGTTGTTGGTTGGGTGGTTGGATTGCTGGATAGCTAGTGAGTGGATGGCTGGTGAGTGAGTGGTTGGATGAGTAGACGAGAAAGTGGTGGCCATTTGGATTGCTTGGTTGGGTTAATGAATATGTATGTATAGAGGAACGGCAGGAAGGAGGGGGGAGGGAAGCAGAGGAAGGATGGATAGGATGCATGGTTTGATTGATTGATTGGTTTCTCTCTTCGTTGCGTTATATTATGTTAAGTAATACAATATCGAGGTATTAAGGGATCGAGTAATTGAAATCGCGTTTTGAAAATTGGTATTGGGTCCATTGTTTCTTTCTTCGGAGCGGTTGGTAGAGGAGGTTTGGTACGGTGGACAGCGTGGTTATGTAGGTTAAGATAGGGTAGGGTAGAACATAAAGAGTGTATGGACAGCCTAATATGTACATTATGTAGTTAATGATGGGTATGACAGGAATGAGGGAATTGGGATAATAGGTTGGGGGAGTAAAGGGGAAATAGTATAGTATTGTGGTGTAGTGTAGTGATAATATAGTTTCCTATTTCTACAGTGAAATTACTGTAGATGTGAGGGGTGGAGGGATGAGGTGCTTGTGGTTCTTTTATACATAAACACATATTAATAAGATTAATAGAACTAACTTTCTAATGAGATAGGGTATGTACTAGTCTATTGTATTTTGTAAATTGTATTGTAACCTTACATTTACACCAGTAACTACCTAGGTAGCTAGCTAGACTAGATTAACCAGACAGATTATCAGCTAGATGAGTAGTGTATATGAGAAGTTAGTCTTACAAGGTACTACAAGATGATAATGGTTCCGCAGAAAGTGAGATTATAAGTTGGGGGGAGTGGAACATGTTTTTGTTTTTGAGTTTGTATAAGTGGATGGGTAGGTAGATAGACAGATTAGTGTTAGATGAAATAGCTTGCCTGTATATGAGATATGGGATTCCTGTGTTTGATTTGACTATGACTTTCGTTTTGACTTTAGTTTTTGCTTTGGATTTTTTAATCTAGAGTTTAAAGAGGAGGTTTAATTATAGAATATTTATAATATTTATTATTTATTTAAGTCTTTTAATATTCAGTTACAATATATATATATCTATCTATTTATAAATCTAATACTCATAATATATATCCATTTAAGTATCTCTTACTACTTGAAAATATATAATCTCATATAAGATTTTTTTCTTCAATATCAAGATTATAATATATTCCCTTCTCTAGAACTATCTAAGTATCCCAGAGGTGGATAGGCTTCTAAATAATATAATATAATAATATTCCACCACAAGGAAGAAAGAAGGCCTTATTAGAAGTATCGACTCTACGATCCATGTGAAAGCAATATAATCTTACATCCCTATAGACTAACTAGAACAGGCCTTTTAAGAACCCGTGACGCTGAGTTTCAATAGTTGGATAGTGTACGATGTATCTGTTTTGTTATGTTATCTATCCATATGAGTAATAAGTAATAAGGCGTAAGTTTGAGATACAGGAATAATGTTCCTGAATGTAATGTAATGTAGTGTAATATAATGAGAGGAGAGGAGGTGAGGTGAGGTGAGGTGATACTTAATAATCGGTGCTTAGCTTTTGTTCTTTTGTGTACGAGATGGATATTGCGAGATTGGAGTATATTTTATTTTATTTATTTATTTATTTATTATATTAATTAACATCTACATATCTAGACTTCTTTCACAATGATGGATTTGGTTTCGATACTAGCAGGATTGATATACTTCTACTCGTAAGGCTGATATAATTTATGATTTTTCTACTTGGTTTTTTTAAGGGTGAGTGACACTATATGTGAGGGAGTGAGATTGTAGTATAGGGTATAAAATAAATTGAACTCCGCAAGTCTTATTACTCTAGATATTGAATGACTTTTATAAGATGAGTGATAGGTGATACATGGTGTCAATCAATAGTCTTACTGGTAGCACTCTTTGTGTGATGAAGATGATGATATATTCCTGAAAAGATAAATTGTCTCCTTTGTGGAGATTTTCAGGGTTTTCAGGGTTCTCAAGGGTTTAGCCTCTAGACTTTTAAATTTTAGGTAAGCGCCGAAAAAGTAAAAATCTAAGGTTTACTTGTCTTGAGACCTATCTAGGTATCCCCGGAATTTGAGCGGAGCGGGAGCGGGCCTGGGGATCATTGGGATTAGAGTTTTCTGAGTATACTAAATGGTGTACGTACTCAATTTCATAACTTTGTTCTTTTATTCAGAAAATCATATTGTCTATTAAATGATACATATACATAAATACTATTTCAATATCAGCATTCGAGTATTTACCTATCTGATAGATACCTGTACAATCAATTCATCAGCATTAATACACGTACTTTACTCGTAATCATCGTATTCACCTCGGTGGCCAAAAAGATCATTCGAGGAATCACCTTGTATTTCATCGTACCCATGAATGAAGATTACAAATTTAGACTACTCTGAGCGTGTGAGGTATTTTATTCCTTAGTCGATTTTTTCATTATTTGCCTCCTTCAGTGTAACAGCTTGGCATGAGTACGAGATTCCCCATATCTTTTGTGTGGGTTGATTGGTGGATGGACAGATGGATCATCTGGTTGATGTGAAAAGTGGGTGAGGTGAGGTTCTCCATACTTTTGGTGCGTGATGGATGATGGATGATCCCACTTTCTGCCAAATATAGAAATGGAATTGGGAAATGGAAATGGAAATAGAAGGGGAAAGTGGAAATACGGAGAGAAATACGGAGAAGAATATATCCCGGGAGCTCCGTGACTTTGAGTGAGAAAAAGTTCAGTCGAGATGGTATGTATGATGGCTGGAGGGGATCGAGATTAGGTTTATTTTGATGGAAGTTTATTGTGAAGATTGATGGAGGTTTGAGTAGAGTATAAGGTTGAATATTGATAAATGTCTTTGGAGTTGAAGATCTTTAAAGGTGATTTTAATTGGTGTTATATTATATGTTAATAGATTCTAAGCCCCAGATTGAATGTAAGATCCTTAATCCGATGTAACCGCCTTAGACATAACACATCTACTAGTTGCTAAGACTACCAAGGGATATTACATGGATCATCACTACCCTCACTACCCTCACTACCCTCACTACCATCACACGCCTAGACTCTGGAGTTATTAGTCTCCCCATTAAAAATGGATATTTGTCTCCCTTTTCCTTCATCACTCAAGAATAATAAATCAATAACTTTTCCTTCACGACATCACTCGTTATTTGTCGTCAAGATTCTGACTCCTTCCTGTCAAACACTTTCGCTTGTGAATCGACTCTTCCATTACACTACATCGCCAAGCAAGCAATCACTCTATTAAACTTTCTATCTGGAGGCGGATTTCAGGGAAGGAACTGTATGAAGGATTAGTAAATGCACATCATAACCGTTTTACCAACATCACCACAAGAAGAGAAATAGGGTTATTGGGGTTACTAGGGAATTATAACAATCGAAAAGAGAGAAATATCAACTCGCATCGCATCCTTATTCACTCGATACGAAGTTATTCATCTGCAATTATCCGCTAATCTTATCCTTTTATTACATACTTACCTACCGTATTCAACTTCCCATCCATCGGACAATTCGTACCACCATAAAAGTCCTCAATATCGCCAATCGCTTCGATATTGATTTGGGTGCTTATTTTTCTTTCGACCCTTGCATATACATATAAAAATGGTGGGAACATCAAAATTGTTGGCCGGTTTGGCTTCAGCTTCAGTGGCATTTGCTGCTTGTAGTCTTGACAGTCATTGTCCTGAAAATGCTCCATGTTGCTCTCGTGAGTAATATTTCTTTCGGTGGTAATTACAAGGAAAAATACTAATCATTTCAGAATATGGAGAATGTGGTACTGGAGCATATTGTCTCGGAGGTTGTGATCCACGAATGTCATTTTCCCTCGATTCCTGCGTACCCGAACCCGTCTGCGAAAGTGCTTCATATACTTTTACGAGCATGGATGGTATAACTTCAAACACAAAATATTTGGGAGATTCTTCAAAGACAAATTGGGTTTATAGTGGAGATCCAGTTATTTATAATGATAATGTGTTGTTGACCATGCCGGCGAATTCGGTCGGGACAGTTATGGCTTCTTCAACTTATATGTGGTATGGAAATGTCAAGGCAAAGTTTAAGACGAGTAGAGGTCAGGGTGTGATCACGGCTTTTATTCTCTTCTCGGATGTTAAGGATGAAATTGATTATGAATTTGTTGGTTCGGAATTGACTACTGCTCAATCCAATTACTATTTCCAGGGTATTACAAATTGTGAGTAAACATTCAATGGGCACAAGAATAATACTAATCTCTTCTTAGACGATAATGAGCTCAACATCACTCTTTCCGATACATACGCCAATTACCACACTTACGAAATTGATTGGACCCCTGATCAGATTACTTGGCTTGTAGATGGACAAGTCGGACGTACAAAGAAGCGCTCAGATACTTGGAATGCAACCGCGAACCAATGGAACTATCCACAAACTCCTGCTAGAGTCCAACTTTCTCTCTGGCCTGGTGGTCTTTCCACCAATGGGGCTGGAACTATCGCTTGGGCAGGTGGTTTAATCGACTGGGATTCTGAAGATATCAAGAACAACGGTTACTATTATGCCTCATTTGAATCTGTCAACATCTCATGCTACAATGCAAAGTCTGCTCCAGGAACCAATTCCGGAAAGTCGTATTATTATAACAATGCTCTAGGAACCAACAATACTGTGGTTGATTCTAATAATGCCACCATTCTTTCATCCCTCTTGGCTACGGGATCAAACATGACTGCAGGAGCATCACCAGCTGCTTCTGGTTCCACACCTGCTTCCACGGCCGCAACTGTTCCTGGACTCACAGGTACCAATGGTGGAGGTGTTGCAGATACACATTCTGATGGTGGTGGTAGCAGTAGTGATTCCAGCTCAGGATCAGCAACATCATCATCCAGTACTTCTTCTTCAACTGGTAGTACTGTATTTTCTCAAGGAGATGGCTCTTCTTCTTCTTCCTCCTCCTCATCTAGCAAAAGTGGTGCCGACAGTATGATTGCGAATACAGAACGAATACTAAAAGGCAGTATATTCGCAGGTATTGTGGCAGTTATTGCCATGATGTCTTTGTAAATTCTTCTGTCTTTTTTGACGTTTGCTTTTTTCGCTAGGGTGGCAGGTCTTGGGCATTTTACATTTTGCATTTTTTGGGAAGATCAAACTTGGCATTGGGTTATGGAGTCTTTCACATTACAATAGCTTGAACATTTTTTACGGCTTTTGGTTTTTTTGATATTTGGAGAGGGAATATGGAGTGGAGAGTGGAGAGTGGAATGGTTGATGAATTATTTAATGGCGTTTTTAGCTGTCCGTTCTTTTTGAGAGGGAAGTGGGAGGCGGGAGGTTTTGGTTGGGTTTGGTTTTGATAATACTCTTTCGCTCTTTCTTGTGGATAATTTTTCTTGGTTGGATAGAGAGGATGTGGAGGTGGGGGCGGAGGTGGTAGAAGTGTGGATGTGGATGTGGGTGAGGGGAGTTAGTAGATGATCAATTATTAGGATACGATGATGGGAGATTTGGAAAGTTGAGAAGTTGAGAAGTTGAAGCGAAATGGGTTGGAATGAGATGAGATAGGATAAGATGATGGCTACCTATCTATCAATGGATGGATAATGGACAATGGATATAAAAGTTTTCAAGAATTAAGAATTAAGAATTCAGAATTGGAATAACTTGTATTCAATGTATTTATGTATACAAAGAAAAAGTTTTGATAATGATAATTACTCTGTAATTAAAGGGATTTTTGTAAGTGTGGTGAGAGTATTAATAATAAGTAATGTTAAGTTGAGTAGATTGTGTTGTTTTTTAAGTATGTGTGTAGGTATTGATATACAAGAGTATAATAATTTCAATAATAAGTTCAGATGTCTTTAACTTATTAATCAAATAATTATCTAGTAAGTAGACTGGGTTCTTGTAGGTGTCATGGATGATAGGATGGATGATTTGTGAATCGGTGTTTTGTATCAGGTTGGTTTTGAATTTTGGATTTTTGAAATTTTGAGGTTGATGATACGGGTGGGGTTTCGTATGCTTGTAGGATTTGTAGGATTTGTGGGAATGTTAATAAGTACCTAGGCAATAGTAAGTTGATTGTGGTTTTGTGTTTTGTTTTGTTTTGTGATGATTTAACCTTACCTTACCTAAGTAGGTAACCTTATTGATTGATGGGTTTTTTGGTTGAATAATTGAGGTTGACTATAACGTCTTGTCTTTACAACAAACTTTTCTTCTGGTTTACGTGTTTTTTCTTCTCTTGTCAAATTTTTGATCTAGTTATAACTGTATTTTAGGGTTATATTGATATAAGATTCTAATTATTATTTTTATTCCTTCTCCTGTCTTCTCTTCTCTTCGAGTTCATTTGAAGCAGCGAGCTTGAGATTCGGATTATTATTTGCGGCTTTGCCTATTTCATCTCGGAGTCTTGTTTGGGATACCTAGTAGCTAGGTAATCAATCTTACAATACAAAGTGATTCCAAAGCTCCTTTGATAGGGCTGGGTTACTTGTTATTATTTGTATTTGTATTGCCTGCGCATGTAGTCATCTTTACGGTCCTATTTCACATCTGCGCCGCGCTGTTCTGATAAAATAAGCTTTTCCGAGACTATTCCCACTTCTTGGTTTTATTCTTTTGGTTGCTTGTTTTTATCATCTTCATCTTCATTTGCTTTTTGTTTTTTGTTATAGCTTGATTTAGAATGAGGATTCAAAGCTGGTTATGGCCGTTACTTGGCTGCAGTGGTGCTAGTGCTTTAACGGTGGATACTTCACAGTCTGGTATGTTTAAATCGTTATTGATATATATTGGGATAATGGATTGAATTAACCAATCTTTCAGATTCAATAAAAAGTGCCGCGAGTTTGGTGGCTACAAATTTGATTTCATATTATCATGGAAATGAATCAGTGTGTATACGTCTTCACATTCTTTAATTAAATTCCCTCCTAATTTTTTTATAGGGTCAAACCCCAGGACTTTTACCTCCTCCTTACTTTTGGTGGGAAGGTGGTGGCATGTTCATGACATTAATAGATTATTGGCGCTATACGGGAGACACCTCATATAACAATCTCGTCTCTGAAGCGCTTCTCTTCCAAACCGGTCCAATGGCTGATTATATGCCTCAAAACCAAACCAAAGATGAAGGAAATGATGATCAAGGTTTTTGGGGAATGGCAGCCATGTTAGCTGCGGAAACAAATTTTCAAAATCCTCCTGCAGATCAACCGCAATGGCTTGCGTTAGCTCAAGCTGTCTTTAACGAAATGGCTGGTCGTTGGGATACTAGTACTTGTGGAGGTGGTTTAAGGTGGCAGATTTTTCCGTTCAATAATGGTTACACATATAAGAATTCTATTGCGAATGGATGTTTTTTTAATCTAGGCGCTAGATTGGCTAGATATACGGGAAATCAAACGTATGCGGATTGGGCAGAGAGGATTTGGCAGTGGGAGCAGAGTGTAGGGTTGATTGATGGTGAGTATAATATTTTCGATGGGAGTAGTGATGTGGATAATTGTGCGAGTGTGGATCACTTGCAGTGGAGTTATAATGCGGGTATTTACTTGCATGGAGCGGCGAATATGTTTAATTATGTATGTATTCTCCTTATTCTCTTCTATTTACTTTGGAAGATTAAACGAGAATTCTCGTTTAATTCGAAGTCCTTGCCTTTTTACCCTCAAAGAAAAGAAGAAGAAGAAGAAGAAGAAAATAAAACTAACCGGATACCCTTCCTCATAACCAGACCGATGGTAATTCAACCTGGCAACAACGCACCAACCAACTCATGAACACCTCACTCAACATTTTCGCCTCCCCCAAAACCAACTCCATCATCACCGAGCAAGCGTGCGAAAAAGCAAATACTTGCGATACAGACCAATTATCCTTCAAAGCCTATTTCATCACCTGGCTAGCCTCGACTGCCATCCTCGCTCCCTTTACTTCGAAGACTCTTTTCCCGCTTCTGCAAATTAGTGCTAAAGCTGCGGGTACTCAGTGCGCGGGTCCGAATAATGCGTGTGGGTTTAAGTGGACTGATGAGAAATATGATGGAAATGTGGGGATAGGACAGCAGATGAGTGCGTTGGGTGCGATTGTGAGTGCGATGGTGGCGGTTCCCGGGGTGGATAATAAGGGGTTTGTGCCGGTTACTAATGGGACTGGGGGGACGAGTATTGGGGATAGTAACGCGGGGAGTGGGGGTGGGAATGTGGGTGGAAATGGGATGGGAGGGAGTGGGAGTGGGAGGGAAGAAGAGAGCTTGTTGGTTACGAGGGGGGATAGGGTTGGTGCGGGGTTTGCGACGTTGGCGGTTTTGTTGAGTTTGTTTGGAGGTGCGGGGTTTATGGTTTTGGAGAAGTAGGGGGGAATGGGGGATGGGGGTGGTGTTGGAGTTTGGTGTTTGGGATGGGTAGGGAACTCCGGGGTTACTGGGAAATTTAAGAATGGATTCTCTAAGAGGTTTAAATCACCACTGAGGTCTTCTTTTATTAAAAGATTTATTTTTTTCTTTTGGTTTGAAAGGGGTGGATTTGGATATATATATATATATATCAATATATAAAACTATATATACATATTAGAGTATCTTAAACCTTCCAAAATCAAACAAGAGATTAAATTAATATAATATTAAACTTACAAGTATTACTAGATAGCTGACCTTAGATTCGAAATTGAAATTTAACTTCAATTTGTAACACACTAGCATAGGATTAAGATCGAGGTTTATATCTAGTATAATTAGAGCGAGCGAAGTGTGTAGTATTTTGTAGAAGATTTAGAGGGAATATTGGTATAATCCTAGAATCTTATAATCTTAAGTATATGTAGGTGGGAAATATTGAGTTTTGGTTTATGGGTTTATGGGTTTATGGGTTTATGGGTTTATGGGTCTGAGTTGTAATTGGAGGGTATACTGAGTTTGGGATGGAGTTTATAAGATGGTTAGCGGATTCTGGGTTTGGGATAGAGTTTATATAGTTTTTAGAGAATGTTTATTAATGTGACGGAAATCCCTGCTTTCCTCCCACCTTTATTATATAAGAAACCTCAGGTACATTAACCATGTCCACACATGATACGATTACTCGAGATTAGTATGCGATTTAGGTGACCTGAGGATCAGATCCGGACAAGTACTAGGTATCAATGGTTATCGGTAAAGTAAGATCATTGGAGGAATAAATATGACTTTTTTTTGCCTAGCCATTGCGGCTAGGCCATTCATTTGTGTATATATAGAGTAGCTATCCCCATCTACAGGTGCTCTTCACCTGTAGATTCTAAGTTAAATACAATTGCTGGTCTATAAACACCCTTTTGGTCACATATAATAATTTTCAAATTAATAAAAAACTTGTTTTGTTAATTTTTTAATTTAAAACTTAAAATAATAAAATGATTTCATTATTATATATTCTTAAAAAGATTATTTTTGAATTCAATGACTTTTTAAAAAATTCATAGCTCAAAAAATCACGCTTTTGAAAATGTGTGTATGGGTGCTAGGTGTAAAAATATCACGTGCGTGTCACGACCGAATTTTCGCGTGTGATGGTTGACGAAGTTGGCAAGAAACTTAACGCGATGGTTTTGCACATTTCGCAAGATAGGAGGACCTCACTCACTAACACATTCTTCCTTCCTTCCCCCCTTTAATATTAAAGTCACATACATGTACAAATTGGATCTGTTTCTCTTTCTGCAACGCGTCGGATAAGCGCAATAACAATTGAGGTGGTGGATGTCTCGGTAAGGTTAAGGTTAGGTATGTAGGATAGAATTCCCTTGCTTCTCAACTACTATCTTTTCAATTCATAGCATAAAGCCATGTTGCGGAACGTGACGGAACGCGAAATTAGGGAAATTGGCTCCAAGACGATGGCTAGATGGTTGATGTCGGTGGCGTGAAAGATATTTGGTGGGAAGGTTGGTGGGAGGGTCAGAAGGTAGGTGCAGATTTTTGGGGATGTTTTTGGGAGATGTACGCGTACTCGGTGTTCCGTGCCTGGTTTGGTCTTTCTTTCCCTTGGTGGGAGTGAGGAGTTGTGAATACATACATGATAGTGATGCACATGATGGAGTGGTGGTGTCCTTCAAGTTTCTGCCGGCAAAGCTCGAGCTTGCTCTTTCCTTTCAACTTTTTATCTAACACATGGATTAAATTTCCGCTCTTCTTCATGTGGATTTCTTCTTCTCATACCTGGGTGGTATCCTTCGTGAAAATTCGGCACTCTCCATCCTTCATATGGCATGCTTTGCCTCTTTCCAGATACTTACATGAGGTTCTCGCATCGACATTTGAGACACACTTTCGGAGGTGGTTCCGGCGAGTTACCCTTCCTTTTATTGGCGCCATGGTCGTGAATTTGGTGAAGAATGTTCATCCATTTCAATTGTTCCTTGGCATGTAAACAAGGCATGTGATCACGTGAATATACTGAACATTGTAAGGTCAGTTTACGGATATCTATTTCCTGCCATAATTTGCTAATGTCGTTAGGTTTGTGAAATGGCTGGTGCATTCAATTTTGCGTGGTGGTTGGTTCTTTTTCATGGGAACAAATTGCTAAGTCGAGTGACTTTAAATGGTGTGGTACTCATGTTTGAAGTCAAATTACTCTATACTTCAGGGGACTGTCGTCCGATACCACATTCCAATATGGGAATCTTGCCTAGCTACGACGAGCATTGCTCATTCCTCAACTATTCTTGCCCTCAACTTATACACGTCCCTCACTTTATTTTCTCCTTAACGTGGGAAAGCCGTCATCCACATTCTTCCCAGTAACACATTCAAAAACAAAAGTTTGTATTCTATATATTCTTCAGTTCTCTGAAAAATATCTTTTTACACACTTTTCACGTCGGTCTTTACATGAACTCAAGTATTTGTTATTTCAGACATTTCGGAGCCTCAAATATCATTTACTAGAGTTCACCTAGACACTACGTCAGGACCATGCGTCCAACTCCACTTCCAAAATGCCTGCTGCAGGTAGCAGCATATGGTATTGCACTCGTTCCTTTCGCTAACGCACAAGCCACAACCATTTATTCAACTGTCACTCGTTATAGAATATCGGTTGTACCACAATATACAACTTATACTGATGTATCTTATTCAATTATTACTTATACTGCACCACCATCGATTCAGACCGAATATGTTACCGCTACAGAAGTTAAGCGGAGAACGACAACTATCTTCGATGGGACAACAACTGTGATAGAACCAGCTTCGACTGTATATGGTGAGTATTTTTTTTATATGTTTTGATGAAAGGTTCAATTTTTTCTAATGATGATTAGCCTCTGAATGTTCTAGTACACAATCGTCTTCTGTAGCCCCTTCGTCGGATATTTTTAGTAGCTTGGCCACCGCATCTTCTGAACTTGCATCTTCTTCTGCTGCCGCTACATCGGCAATTTTCAGCAGCTCGGCCTCTATATCTTCTGAATTTGCTTCCTCTTTTGAGCTCACCATACCATCCGTGACTACTATCGTTTCTGAATCTTCGACTATCATTGAAGAAATATCAACAACGGTTGAGTTACCTACTATGACTACTGAGCCTACAGAGACAGGAGTTTTTACTACTAAGGAACCAGGAGCTACGACTCAGCCTCCTGAACCAACTCGTGTTTCATCAGCCATTACACCAGCTGGTACTTATAATCCAGTGGAATGTTATCCAGATGATGAGGCCAATGGCTTTCCATTGGCCCCACCTATTACTGAGAGTGTCGATCCAAATGACTATGCTACAGTCCAAAGCTGTGCTTTACTCTGCTCAACAGCCAATGCAGGGGGCCCATTCAGATATGCTGGAATTGAGCCAGGACGCTGTTTTTGCTCAAACGGATTGCTTGATGCAGAACCAGCCACTAATTGTTCTTACCCATGTCCAGGTAATCCGGTCCAAGTATGTGGAGGAAGTCCTGCCCTACCACCTCCCCCACCCAGAAGATTCAGAAAACGTGCGGTCGGAACAGCGATCATTATTTATGAACTGGAAGGATTTGTTTCACCAACCTCAGCTGTTGTTACCGATATTAGTTCGACTGAAATACCTGGGGCAACCTCCACACAAACTGTCGGTACTGAAGGACTAGGGGCTAGCTCTACAACCGAAATCATTGTCACCGAGGTACCAAGTGCTACATCGACAGAAATCATCGTCACGGAGGGCCCAAGTGCTAGCTCTACGATTGAAATTATTACCACCGAGGAGCCTGGGGATACTTCCACAGAAATAATTCCTATTGAGACGCCAGGATTTAGCTCTACAACAGAAATTGTTGTTACTGAGGAACCTGTTACTTCCACAGAAGTTATCCCTACTGAAACTCCAGGAGTTAGTCCTACAACTAAAATTACCGTTACTTCGGGACCCGGGGTTACTTCTACAGAAATTATTCCTACTGAGACTCTAGGAGCTTCGTCAACAAGCGAAATCATTGGCACCGAGACTTTAGGAGCTTCGTCAACAAGTGAAATCATTGCCACTGAGGAACCAAGTACATCTACCACCGGGGAAGCAATTGGATCTAGCACTGGCATTCCACCTGTCAGCAGTGTTGCATCTGGCGCTAGTACAACTTTGGAAGTCGGAAGTACTCAGGAACTAGGAGCGACTAGCACTTCGGAAGCTTTTGTCAGCACAGAAGAGCCGGGAGTTACGAGTACCGTGGTAGTAAGCACCGAAGTACCCGCCGCGGCTACCACTTCGGAAGTTATTGGCACTGAAGGGCCATCAACTACGAGTACGTCAGAGGGACTAGGAGTCACTAGCACTTCGGATGTTATTGGCACTGAAGGACCATCAGCTACGAGTACCTCAGAAGTCATTATTACCGAAGAGCCAGGGACTACAACAACTTCTGAAGCAAACACTGAAGGGCTAGGGGCTACTAGCACCTCAGAACTTGTTGTAAGCACTGGAGAACTAGGTGCCACCACAACCTCCGAAGGTTCTGTCAGCATTATGGAACCATGGGTAACTACGACTTCGGAGATTGTTATAAGTGAAGGACTTGGTGCCACAACCTCGGGAGTTTTGACTAGTGAAGGACCAGAATCCACTACTGGATCAGTTTTGACTACTGGCCTAGAGGCTACAACGACAGGCCCCGCTCTCACGACTGAGCCAGGAGCTGAGTCTACAGGCCTTGCTTCTACAACAGAAATACCAGAAATCACTACCAGTATTGAAGTAACTCCTGGCTCACCAACATCTACTTCTGAAGGTCTTGAAATTGGAGAGACAACTACTAGTGCTTTGGCATCTAGTACTGAGGTTGAGGTAACTACTGGCTCTCCAACATCTACTTCCGAAGGTGGTGAAATTGGAGAGGCGACTACTAGTGCTTTGGCATCTAGCACTCAGAGTGTAGAATTCCAAGAGACGACTACTGTTCTTCTATCGACTACATCTCTTGAGGAATCTTTCACTGAAATTCCTTCCGCTAGTAACGTGGTTTCTGGATCAATAACCACAACCTTCGTTGCTATAACATCCACGTTCGTACTACCGTCATCCACATCTAGCCCTGGTCCTTCATATGATTATGTCTGTGCAGTGGCTCCAAGTCTGTTCAATGTAGTCATTGATGCGCCGGGTAAGCCAAAGCAATATCTATCTCAACGTAACTTTCCAGACGCTGGAAATATTGAAAGTTTATGGGGTTATGACACATTACCTGTTGTAACATCAGAATCACAAGCGGCTGCTTTCAGCATTGGATTTGGCAACGCTTTCCACGGCACACTACAATCGGCTGGTGAACAAATTACTGGTGCTGTTCGATTGACCGCTTTAGGAGCTCCTCTTCAACTCTTTACTGCGGCCCATATTTCTGATAATATGAGAATCTATTCTGCCACTGTTGGTTCAGATTGTTCACTTGGCTTCGATATTGCAAACACAGGCGCCAATATCTTGGCTGACTGTAGTGGTGTATTTACCATTTTGACACCAGCTACGCAAATTCAAAGAGGAAGTGGATGTACCCAAGTTCAGGCGTTTGCTGTTGCAGTTCAACCACCTTCTTCAACATTGTCAACGGCTATTGCTTCAACTACTGAAGTCCCATCTGGAACAGTTGGCTTGGTAACAAGCAGTTCAACTTTCTCACCTATTGCATCTTCAACCTCAATCGCTGGATGTCCTGTTACTCCATTCTTCAAGATACTTGTGAATCAAACAGGTATGCCACCACAATATCTATGGGATCCAGTCCCATTCGGTGATGATGCTTTATCATTCACCACTGATGAGGCACAAAGCTTGACCTTCTCATTGTCTCCTAGTACGGGTCAACTACAATTTAATATTATTGATTTCTTTGGAAATCCTGTCTTATTGGCATCTAATCAAGATTTGCACAACCCTGGAAATGAGGCAATCTTCTTCTCTACAGCAACCAAATTTCAGCAACTTGGGTATCAACCAGTTGTTGCAACCATTAATCCAGATTGCTCCATCGGTTTGACTTTACCATACAATGCTGCAAATATCATACAAGCTTGTTATGGCTCGTTGTACTTGATGTTGTCACCTGGAGTTGAGTGTGTTACGGTGTCATTATTACTGTTACCACTTGATTCTTCCGCTAGCACTTCTGCCATTCCATCGACCAGTTCTTTTTTAGTCTAGGTTCGGCGAGTCTGGGAAGCCCCTCCGCTACTTCAACTGAAATCACCCCTTCTCTTTCATCAGTTGAATTTTCTAGCGGATTGCTAGCTACCAGCTCGCCCGCCTTCACGAACACACCGTCCGGGGTGGCCAGTTCGTCTTTCTTTGTATCATATTCATCCTCTGGACAGTCATTCATTACTTCCCAAGAACCCGCTGCTTCTTCAACAGCCAGTTCTTTCATTGCTTATTCATCATCCGAGACGCCTAGTGATTTTACCACAATTCCTTCCTTTACTATCAGTTACTCGTTCCCAACAATTACCTCAGAGTCATTCTCTCAATCTCAATCATTAATTTTATCGACTTTCTCTGGACAAGAATCACAAGTTCCTTCGTCCACTTTTGAGACCGTTTTCTTATCTGCTGTACCTTCATCTATCGTTCAAAGCTCGATTTCAGCAGTTCTCTCATCATATGAATACAGCTTGGCATCATTCTCATCCGCCCAATCTTCTGGATTCATGACTAGCTTCTCTACCACGTCATTCTTGAGTTTGGAACCTTCAGAAACCCAGAGTACCGATATTCCATTCTCATCTAGTGCAGCTTCTTCGAGTGTTGGCGAGGGAATTTCTACTGGCATTCCTCCAGTCACAAGCGTTGTTTCTGGCTCAAGTACAGCGACGGAGCAGACTAGTTCGTTTGGTTTGGAATCTTCATCTCTGCCTGGATTTACGTCTACTTTTGAACTATCGTCCTTGCCAGAACAGACTTCTGTGCCTGGATCCACATCCTCATTGGAACAATCGACTTCCCTTGGAATATCTTCTACTTTCGAACAATCGTCTTTGCCTCAAACCACAAGTACTTCCGAATTGCTCGAAACAACATCTGGTCTTGAAGCTCTATCATCTATTTTGTCTTCATCACTGGGGATCTCTACTCCATTGCCCAGTGAAGTATTATCAACCTCGACAGGAGTTATATCATCGATTACCGAAAGCCTATCAAGCTTTGGTGAGAGTGCTTTCCCATCTGAAACTGGCACAATTATTCAATCGTCCGTAGCTGCCAGTAGCACGGCTATTCTTTCGTCTCTGGAATTATCTGCAGCTCCATCAAGCAGTGGAGCTTCAAGTACAATTCAGGAATCTAGTGCTGTTCTATCTGCCACCTCAATAAACAGCTTGACTGAATCCCCATCTCTAAGCTCGGAAACATCTCTTGGTGCTACGAGTACTTTGGTAGGGTCACCAAGTCAGTCATTTGAAGTCTCCACCAACCTTGGATCGATAATTTCTACAGAGATTATCATTAGTACGACTGTAGTTGTACAATCAAGTATCGAATCAACACTTGGAGCTACAAGCAGTTTAGCGGGATCATCAAGTCAATCATTCGAGTCCTCGAGCAATATTGAATCGAGTTTACTTACACATACATTCGTTGGCACATCCGTCTCTGTCGAATCAAGCTTGTCATTTAGCAATGTAATATCTGGAAGTGCCACAACAAGTACTTTCGATATCCAGTCCACAGATGAAATCACGAGTGGTCTGGGATCTATTGTTTCTACGACTAGCTCAATTGAATCTAGCCTGTTCGAAGGTCCTAGCAGTTCTCTTGTATTAGTTCCAACATCCACTGGTCCTGAGTTCATCAGCTCAACGCAGGTATCAGAAATTATATCAGAGAGTGTCAGCCTTCCATTTTCAAGCAGTATTGGTTCGATTGTGCCTACGATAGGTTCTATTGAACCAACCTTATCGGAAGCCACTAGCAATACGATAGGTCCTATTGAAACATCAACTGGCATTGAAACCGGCACCTCGACGCAGGTTTCGGAGATTTTGAGCCTCAAACTCACGAGCAGCGTTGAATCTCTTGCTGCCACCTTAACTTCAACTGGCACAGTTTTCACTTCCATCGAACCTAGTTCATCTGAGGTCTCCAGCAATTCGGCTGGCGCTGCTGAAACAAGCACAGAGATTTCTCAATCAATACAGCTGTCGGAAACTTCAACTCTTATATCCACATCTACCGGCTTTTTTGAATCATCAATCTTAGAATCAAGTGTTGGAAGTACTTTCCAAATCACCCCTGAATCCAGTTTGGTTCAATCCACCACTCTCCCTGCTTCAACCAGCGAGCCTTTATTCTCTACGATCAGTATCGTCTCACTATCCAACTCGATTGAAATAGTTAGCACATCGGAGTCCTTGAGTCTAGAGCCATCAATCATAGTGACGACTAGCTTAGCAGCTCTCACAACTGGAGTCAGTTCTGAAACTGTGATACTCTCTAGTACAATTGAAGTTGTCACAGAATCATTCACTTTGGAGCCATCTTCGGGGGCGGTTAGTATACCTGCCTCTGCCACATCAAGTATCTTCATACTACCTTCTACGACAATTGGATCGGTTGGAATAGAGTCTTCTACTACGGAAACGTCATTAGCAATTCCAAGCAGCTCAGGAATTCTTTCTGAAACGGCTAATTCTGCCTCCGCAAGTTTTACCGGTACGGTAAGTTCTATTCTGAGCACAGAGGGCGTAGCTTCGACTACTGGTGTGGAAACATCCAATGTTTTTGAGACATCGACCAATGCCATAAGTTCTGGTACTCCTGAACCTTCCAGCATAATAACTTCACTCGTGGTTAGCACTGTATTGGAGATTAGTACAGTCATATCTTTCCTCTCGTCAACGGTTAAAAGTGGTATTAATACTTCGTCAGCTGTAAACAGTGCTTTGGAAACCTCTACCGTCCAATATCTGGGAGAGTTGAGTACCACGTACGGATTGCCTGAAATCTCAACGCGAGTATTATCGAATCTTCGATTCTATCCCTATCCATAC